TTGTTAAAGGCTTAATTACCATCTTCTTGTATCATCTTGGCTGGTGACTAAGCTTTTCGACGACTCAGAGCCCACAGACAAGGATTCCTTCCACAAGGTCAGAGAGGTCATGCCTGTTCTGCTTCTGCAAGGTTATTGCGGGCTCTGGGAGCAGCCAGTCCCAGGCAGAAGTGGCTGCTGGTCCCAGAGCCGTGGCCTGAGCGGTGGTGGCGGACCATGTGGCAGCAGACAGAGGGCTCTGGGAGCAGCCAGTCCCAGGCAGAAGTGGCTGCCGGTCCCAGAGCGGTGGCCCAAGCCGTGACAGTAGGCCCCAGGCAGAGACGGCTGCTGGTCCCCAAGCAATGGCTGGTTCCAGGTAGGGAGACAGATGGCGGGCTGGCAGAAGACAGAAACATGGATAGACACGACAAGCAGGGTTGAGGTTGAATGTTTATGCAGGGGGTTATGGAGGAGGAAGGGTGAAGGGGGGGACAGAGAGAGAGAGAGAGAGAGAGAGAGAGAAGAGGAAAAAGACAGAGAAAGGGGGAAGCAGAGAAGTGGGGAGAGAGGCAGAAGCGAAGCTGCCTCTGCCTCTCTGAGAGGAAGATGGAAAAGAGAAAGAGCTCAGGCGGGAAGCTGAAGATCAGCCTGCCTTAGTGGATGGGGAGGGGAATGGGTGTGGCTTGTCTCTTAAAGGGACCAAAACCATAACAATAAAGCTCATTGATTCACCAAATTCTACTTTGTTGGTATTTGTACATCCCTATCTGGGATGAGAGACACCTGTTTCTGTCTCTCATGAAAGACAGAAAAGGTCGTGTCACACATAACCCCCACTTGCTGAAGTTGTATCAATATTTTACATAGTTCAGCATCTTTTCCATTTCCCTCCCTCCCTTCCTTCTTCAAGACAGGGTTACTCTGTTTATCAGCTCTGGCTGTCCTGGAACTCTCTTTGTAGGCCAGGCTGACCTCAAACTCACGAAGATCCTCCTGCTTCTGTCTCCCAAGTGCTAGGATTAAAGACTTGCGCCACCAATGCCTGGCCCATGTTTATTTATTTAAAATAGAGAGTCTCTCTGCTATACATCAGTTCCCCTGTAAGAATGAGACGATTACTGTGTGTGCTAAAATGTGCTCAATATTAACTTTACAGTTTCTTGACCAGTCCAGGAAATAGGATTTCTTCTTTTCCTTGGAGGTTTGGCAGGATTTACTCACTAAACTGCCTGGTCTGTGTATGTTATAGATGGAGGTGGGAGACAAAATATCACTACCTCTTAGTGAATCAGATGACATATTTTACATTTTTCTAGTAAAGTACTTTTATCCCTTTTTCCCTCCTTCAGACAGTGTACATGTAAGCAATTGTTCTATCTCCAGCTTGACTCTGTTCTGTGGTGTGTGTGTGTGTGTGTGTGTGTGTGTACATGACATACTCTGTAGCTCACCCTGTTACCTTGGATCTTGAGATTATACTCTGTCTTCAACTTTCTCAATGTTGGAGTATTAGGCATGAGTGCTTGAAAAGTTCTTGTTGCGTTACTTTTTTCTTTGAGGAAGAGTAGCTTTCATAGCCCATACTACTTTCAAATTTGCTATCCTCCTGCCTCAATGTCTATATTACAAGGATAGCGGGTATATATCACCATGCTCAGTTTCTTTTACCGTCATCATCATCATCATGACTATCATCACTTTGTTTTTGATATAGGGTCTCTGTATTTCTTGCTGTGGTAGAATTAGATAAGAAGACCTTGAACTCACAGAGATCTTCAGCTTCAGCATCTGGAGTGCTGGGATTTAAAGGAATGTGTCATCATGCCTGGCCTTTTTATTATTCATAATAATATGCATTTGTTTACATTTTTGTTCTTGGGTTTAACTTCATTTTGTCTTCTAGTTAATTGTTTTTGCTTTATCCTTCAATTCCTCTGCTTTTGGGTTGATTTTGATTCCATTTGTTTCTTGAACTATTTTCTATAATTATAGATAAACATTTAGAGAGATGTCTAGAGCTGTGGGTTTTATAGATTTTGTAATCTAATATGTTGTTTTGTAAAGATTTACTTTTATTTTTTGTGTTCGTGCTTTGTATGTGTATCAATTTCTAATCAACTAGAATTTACCTAAATTTCAGACTTTTTGTTAGTTCTGTCTCATACTTAATTAACATTTGGAAAGTTTCAAGAAAACAGTGTATTGATGATTACAGATAACTAGAATATTTTCCTACTTAATGAGATATTTTTTAATGTGGTGCGTCTAACTTGTCTCCATATACACTACAGCTTTAAAATTTTCTATAGTTTGTTTTTAACTGAATGTGATTAGATTGGATTATAGGATTATATTCCTAGTTTTAACTTTGTAATTTGTTGTATTTTGTGGCTTTTGGTTTTTGAGATAGGGTCTCTATATAACCCTGGAATTCACCTTGTAGACCAGGGTAGCCTTAAGCCTTAAATTCAGAGAGATCCACCTGCCTGCCTCCTTTTTTTTTTTTTTTTTTTTGGTATTGCAGATTGAAACCAGGGTCTTGTGAATAGGACTTTAAAGGCCTTGCTATTGAGTTATCCCTAGTTCTGTGCATCTTTAAAAAAACAAACAAAATCAAATATTTTTCTGTAGAGAAATTACTTTTTTCAGAGCAAGTAGAAGCTAAATACATAGTGTAGAATAAGAATAAAAAGCTAACAAAAATCAGCTTAAAAGAGTATACTAAAGATACACACATCAAACATTGGTGAAGAAAAATAGCCAAAAATCCATTCTTGAGCTACTCTCACAGCAGGCTAACCTTACCCCTTGAGGCCTCTGATGACTTGACTACACTCCCTTCCCAAAGTACCTGGATGAAAGTTGCTGCTAAAGCCAAGTTAAAAAAGATAGCATCTTTTAAAAAGTCCTATTTTTAACTACACAGATAATGTAAATAGCTATGTGTATATTAGTGCAGGTGTCTGCAGAGAGACACCTGTGACCTGCTTGTTGTGTGTGCTGAGAATTGAACCCTTATCCTCTGAAGAGCAGCCAGTGCTCTTAATTACCAAACCATGACTAAGAATCCATGGTTCTGAGTCTTGGTCCCTGTCGCCTGTATGTAGACTTCAGTTTCCAGATTTTCCACTGGGTCTCCTAGACCCTTACACCATTGTCTTTGCAGAATTTTCAATGTAAATACTATCTTGTACAATTCAGAGTCCTGTGATTCCACATTCTTATTTCTAAGCTCTTATCCCTGTTGTCTTTTTAGTTGGTACTTCCTTCCCCCTGGGGTTAAGAGCTTTAGTCTTGCAAGAAAGGAATCCAGGCTGTCTCATGCCTAACTGATGAGGTAGGATAGGAAAGACCCCAAGCCACAGAGAGATGAGGGTCTCCAGAGAGTAGGTTTTGGATGGGTGGCTTCAGGTTTCTTCCTTTCTCTTGAAGATGATTCATGTGTGCCACAGGTAAATCTCACCTCTGTGCTTTACCTCTTGTTCAGATTTGACTGAGCATTACTTCATAGCTAGACCTAAAAGAGCTTTAGAGTAGTTACTAGATTTAGTGACTGAATAGTTGAGATATGTAAAGCAGGAATTGCTTATTATGTTTGTTTTACGTTCAAGTATGAATCAGTAAGTATATGAGATTACTCTTGATTTTTAAGAATTCTATCTACTCTGCTCCTTACTTGGTAGAGATCTTATTCTCATTTGAATACCAAGTTGGAATTTTTAATCATTTTTGAAGGATTACTGTTAAATAGGATGTATGTGATTTTTAATCTTAACGTTTTATTTTTTTGTTTATTTTTGTTTTTTTAGACAGAATTTCTCTGTGTAGCCCTGACTGTCCTGGAACTAACTTTGTAGACCAGGCTGGCCTTGAACTCACAGAGATCTGCCTGCTTCTATATTGACTGAGATTTCTGTCCTGCCTGTTCCCACAGCCGATAAGCCCCAAAGAAACTCAGAGAGGTCTACATTAATTATAAACTGGTTGACCTGTTAGATCAGGCTTCTTATAACTCGTATTAGCCTTTAATTCTTGTCTGTGTTAGCTATGTGGCTTGGTACCTTTCATCAGTGAGACATTCTCATCTTGCTTCCTCTGTGTCTGGGTGACAACTGCAGACTGAATCTTTCCTCTTCCCAGAATTCTGCTGTTCTTCTTGCCCCGCCTCTACTTCTTGCCTGGCTACTGGCCAATCAGCCTTTTATTAAGCCAGTACAAGAAACAAATGTTTACAGGGTAAAACCATTGTTCCACAGCACTTCGTCCTCCCAAGTGCCAGGATTAAATGTGTGCGTCATCAGTCTGCCTTATTCTTAATATTTTAAAGTTTCTTTAAAAAATATTTTGTCAGCCGGGCAGTGGTGGCGCACGCCTTTAATCCCAGCACTTGGGAGGCAGAGGCAGGCGGATCTCTGTGAGTTCGAGACCAGCCTGGTCTACAAGAGCTAGTTCCAGGACAGGCTCCAAAACCACAGAGAAACCCTGTCTCGAAAAACCAAAAAATTTTTTGTCTGTTCCTCAATATTTGAATATGGGTTAAAAGTGCATTGGCTTTGGATACCAGTTACAGATGGATTTTGTAGATTTACTAAGCAACACTAAAAGTTTTATCTTACGTAAAAATCCAGCTTGTTGTTTGTTTAATTAGTGAACAATTTTGTACAAATACTGTTTTATATTATGAGGTCTCAGTTTTGAAAAAGAACATTGTCATTGGCTAAAGAATTTATAGTGAAGAAACAAATAGGTATTTATAATGGAGCATAGTCTGACAATAAGATGTTTATTAAAACCAAGAGTGGGTTTCCAACATAAAGAGAAAAAACAAAATCTGATTTAACATAACTCAAATGGAAGTTTCAAGAGAAGATAACTTTTTGAATCTTAGCATTCTAAGTGGTGTGGTATATGTAAATATTGATTACTATCAAGAAAAATCTTATTTTACAGTATGATTTAATGGGTTTTTAAAATATACTTCATGATGACTTGTCTTTTTTTCTCTTTTTCTTCCCTTTTAGAATATGGTTTCTAGTTTTAGGGTTTCTGAGTTACAAGTGTTACTAGGCTTTGCTGGACGGAATAAAAGTGGGCGCAAACATGACCTCCTGATGAGGGCGTTGCATTTATTGAAGAGTGGCTGCAGCCCTGCGGTTCAGATTAAAATTCGAGAATTATATAGACGCCGATACCCACGGACACTTGAAGGACTTTCTGATTTATCCACAATCAAATCATCAGTTTTCAGTTTGGATGGTAGTTCATCACCAGTAGAACCTGACTTGGCTGTGGCTGGAATCCACTCGTTGCCTTCTACTTCAATTACACCTCATTCACCATCATCTCCTGTTGGTTCTGTGCTGCTTCAGGACACTAAGCCCACATTTGAGATGCAGCAGCCATCTCCTCCCATTCCTCCTGTCCATCCTGATGTGCAGTTAAAAAACCTGCCTTTTTATGATGTCCTTGATGTTCTCATCAAGCCCACAAGTTTAGGTAAGTATTAAGAAAAATTACTTATCATTAAACAATGTTTTAAAGTAATCAGCCTCCAACTATTTATTAATGATTTTCTGTTAATACCTTAAAAATAATACCGAGAGTTGGTAAAATGGCTCATGGGGTAAGGACCTTTGCTGCCCAGTCTGAGAGTCTGAACTCAGTTACCAAGACCCGCAGGGTGAGAGGAGAGAACCTATTCCTGGAACACATTCTCTGATCCTGCATACGCGTATCACAGCTTGCACACTCTCACAGATAAATAAATGCTACAAATATTAAAGAGAGCTGATAGCCACGCATGGTGGTCTTCAGTAACCCAAGAGATCTTTTGGTTTGAGGCCTGTCAGGATTACATAGTAAGTCCTTATCTCAAAAGCAAAAACAAAATCACTCCCATCCCCAAAATCAAGGGACTAGGAAGATAGATGCCCTGGTGCATAAAAGCAGTAAGCTTGAGGACCTGAGTGTGTATACCTAGAACCCATATAGATCTAGACTTGACAAATGCTTCTGTAATCTCTGTGTTCCTACAGGGAAATGGGAAATGGAGACAGAAAATCTTAGACATACACACACATGACTTATACCAGAGGTATTGCTCTAACTTATATGCCCTTGCCCGCATTGGCACATGTGAATGTAGATAAATGTTGAAAAAAATACAAAAAAAGAAATCAGGCATGTTTCTTATGCCTATAGTCCCAGTACTTGGGAAACTGAGACAAGAGGTTCGCTGAGAATGTGGCCAGCCTGGGATACATAGTACTGGCCCAACCAGGGTTGCGTAGTAAGATCCGTGTCAAAGGCAAAATGAGACAACTAAACTAGAACTAAATTAGAACAAACTAGAACTAAAAAATTGAGGTATTGTTGCTGAATATTTAAGTGTACAAGTAAAGAATTATTGTAGTCATATCTGAAATTTAATGTAAAAATGTTACATCATTTGAATGTCCTTTAGTTTTTTTCTTTCTAATTTTTAAGAGCTGTGTGTGTGTGAGAGAGAGAGTTGAGTAGGGAGGGATGTTAAAAGCCAATATAGAGCTTATCCTCAACTGTTTTGTTTGTTTGCCTTTTGGAGTCTTAGTGTGTAGCCCAGGCTAGACTGGAATGCTATTTTACTGCCTCAGCCTCTCAAGAACTTAGATTACAGATCTATCCCTGCACCTGGCTAACTTTTTTCTTTCAAATTTGTGTGTCTTTTGTTTAATTCTTCTGCCCTCTTAATTCCTGTGGCTAGAACTACCTCCTATATTCTTTTTATGTCTTAAGGACTCAGATTGCTTTTGTGTGAATTGGGAATAGACTTAAGGCCATAATGTCTCTATCATATTTTTGATAGTGTTCCAGAGCTCTAACTTTTGTTTAATGTAGTTTTCAGGTGCTTTCCTAACACATATTTATCTGTTAGAGGCTGAAGAGATGACATAGTGGGTAATAGTAAGTACTGCTTTTGCAGAAGACGCAGTTTAGTTTCCAGATCAGGGTGGCTCACAGCAGTTGCACTACAGCTCCAGGTGACCTGCACACCTTTATACCCATACACAAGCACGTACACATAATTAAAAGAATTGATCTAAAAATAAGCCTTTTATACATATTTTTCTAAAGTGGGAAAGGGTATTTATTTGTTATTTTGTATGTATGTAGGTGGTACAATATATCTTGGTGACTCAGGATGAAGTCTTCAGACAGGACTGGTAATGAGGTTAGGATGGTCTGATTGTTGACAGGCCAAGATGGCTACTTGGTATCTTACTTTGTTTCATTTATTTATTTTTAACAGTTTAAATTCTGTAAACTCATTGGCCTTTTTGCCATTATTAATGCTATTAAAAACAGATCTTTGACAACAGTGAGATGGCTCAGAGAGTAAAAGGTGTTTGCTGTGGAACCTGATAACCTGAACCGAGATGCCTAGAACCCACATAGTAGATGTCTGACTTCTCAAGTTGTTTCTGATTGTTTGTGTGTATGTGTGTGAACACATACAGATGTATGTAATGTCCAACACCACAAAAAATACATATCCTTTAAATTTTTATATGAAAACTTGCTTCTTTAAACTTTTTATTTTGAAAATTATTGTTAGAGGGAAAGCAATATGCCTCAGTGGATCAAAGACACTTATTGCCAGACCTTAAGACACAAGTTTGATATCTATAATCCACACGATGGAGAGAATTGGTCCTTTCAAGTTACCATCTGGCCTCTACAAGTGTTCTGTTGTGTGCATATACAATAGAAACAAACATAAAACACTGTAACAGAAAGCTGAATACAGTGAGTGGCACATGCCTGTAACACTAGTTCTAATTGGTCTTAATAAAAAACCTGGAGTCAATTAAGGTAAATACTGAAAGGTCAGAGAAGTAAAGGAACCATTCATTAGAGAGACTTTTTACCTCTACTGAATTCTCAAACTGAAGGGAGGCAAAATTCTGTCTCCATGAATCCTCAGACTGAATGCCCTGTGCTCCTGTCTCCTTCAGTTTTATATTCCTCTCGCCTCCCAACCTTATTCCTTCTTGTCTCCACCTTCCTAGTGCCTTTAGGTGTGTGACTCCCAAGTATTGGGATTAATGGTGTGAGCCACCACCACCTGGCTTTTCTCTCTGGATCACCTAGTGTAGCCCAGGGTGGCCTTGAACTCAGATCCACCTGTTTTTGCCTCCTGAGTGCTGGGATTAAAGGCTTATGCCACCACCATCTGTCCAGGAAAGTGGTTTTTTTTCTATTTAATAAACTTAATAAAATAAACTTATATTGGGCATTCCAAGTTTTGTTTTTTTGAAACAGGGTCTCTCAATGTAGCGTTGGCTGTTCTAGAATTCAAGGCCATAGAATTTCACCTACTGCTGCCTCTGTGCTGGCGTTAAAAGGATGTGCCACTATGCTCAGCTGGAGATACTTTATCTTGGAAAGTAGTTAAGAAAGCCTGTATCTTGCTCATAAGCAGATTATAATGCTAGAAATGTGTATAATCTGTTTATCGTTATCCTCAAGCTAAAATAGTCTGTTCATATGTTTCTCTGTATTCATGTTTGTTACTGTTTCCATAAACAAATACTTACTTTCCTTTTCTTCCATTCTTCTCAGATGATAAACATCAGAAACACAGGAAGGGAAGGTCTCCTAGGATCTCATTTCTGGTTCAGGCAGAGACATTTCAAAATTGGCCATGTCTAAATGTATTGTTTATTTTTTTTTCCTATTCTCTATTTGAAAAGACTTGCAGTTGTAGGGCCATTGTGTTGTCTTCCTGTTGAGGAGGGTTATTATTCTTTTTTAGATAGCTGTGAGTCCTGCCCTATAGAGATTCTCACCAGGACAGTCTCTTAGTGCTTTTGGAAGTGTATATTCTGTCTTTAGATTATAGTTGGTCTGTTACCTTGGTGCTGTCAGAAGTCTGGTGTACATTTACAGTTTTTGCTCACTTAGAATATTTTAGTATATGAAATGTCAGGCACTATTCCTACAGTTCTATATACATATCATCTTTGAGCATTTTACTTATATTTCTGAGTATATATATTTATGAAAGATTTAAAAATGCCTAGATGAAAAGTTGAGCCCAAGAGCTCAATATTTAATTGAATATTTAAATGAATATTTAAATTTTTGATGTTCAGTGAAGTTTAGTAACAGCTTCAAAGGCTTTGTGCTAATTTATTTTTTCTAACAGCATGTGTTTGTATTGTTTTTCTTGGTTCCTCACATTGTATTACTGTTTTTTAAATCCTTGCTAATCTCAAAGATTGTCATTTTAGTAGGTTAGCTTCTTTTCATATCTTTTAAGTCTTTCATATTAGGATATGCTCAGTAAGCTCCTGAGTATGATCAAACGAATATAAAGTGATATGCTCATTAATGTTAAATCCATTAAAATGAATGGCTTAAATCATTTGAATAAATAAAAACACAAACATATCTTAATAACTCAGATAATTAATGAATATTAATTTGGAGGTGGCCATGTAGTCTAATCGTAGGAAAGGTAGAAAAAATATGAGACGACTTTATGGAGAATGTCATGTAGTTTAGGAGTTAGTAACAGGGAAAAAGGAAACACGAAGCCGGGCAAGGCGTACATTCCTGTAATTTGGGAGGCTGAAGCAAAAGGACTGCACAGCAAGACATGTCAGAGAGGGCGTGAAACTGTAGCAGGGTCCTGGGCTGGAACTTAGGGGTCAAGGACTTCTCTAGCGTGTGTGAGGCCCTAAATTTGATCCCCAGAACTGACAAGTGAGCAGATCAGAGTAATAACAGTATGTAGTTATGATTAAGTACTATAAATTATGCTCAGATTTTGTATTGCCCTAGCTAATGGGGAATTCAATTAAGCTTTCTTATAGAGACTTGAGGAAACTTGTAATGACACACACACACACACACACACACACACACACAATTAGAATTTATGTCAAGAAAGGAGAGAGCTTTTACTAATCAAAGAAGTTGAAATTGTAGTGGATAATTGTAAAACCAAATAGTGAAGAAAGTAAATAGGCTTCAGGAGGCTTGTGAAGTACAGGTTTGCTAGGAAAAGAGCCAAGATTTTTGTTGATGGAGGGCTGTATCGAATGGAATTTAGACATGGCTTATTCAGACTTGGGAGCCTATAGCAGAGGAATGGTGATGGAACTCATGCTGAAGAGGACTAACTCCACGCATGTTCTCATGGGAACTTGATGGCGTGGTAGACATGAGCAGTGATGTCAGTAAGAATGGGCTAGGGTGCTGGGAACGCAGCCCCGCCGCCCTTACTACTACAGGGATGAAGACGTCAAACAACAGGACTCTGGAAGATAAAGAATACCGAAGTCAAGATTAGGACTTCTGGGAATTGGACTATTAGTAGCTATTTCCTTCTTTTCATAATTCTGACGCCATTTTACTATTTTTCAGATACAAGAAATCTCAATTCTTTGACCTCCTTAGTTGACTTTTTTAGTGGTTGGTTATTAATAGAGTGATGACATCTGTTGTTTGGAAGAACCAAATTATCAAAAATATAATTTGATACTTTGATAGCATTTGATAATATAATGGCCTTATTTTCTCCAGTTACCATTGTATGTAAATATTAGCCTTTGTGCATCTTTATAAACTTTTGAAATTCAATACCACCTTTTATTTCAAGCAGTGTTTTGTTTTTTTTTTTCTTCAGCTGGTTTTTCGAGACAGGACTTTGCTGTAGCTATTGTCTTGGACCTAACTCTTGTTGACCAGACTGGCCTCGAACTCACAGAAATCAGCCTGCCTCTGCCTCCCAAGTACTGGGATTAAAGGCTTAGCCACAACCACCCGGCTTTCAGAGTGTATTCTCGTGTGACTCATCAGCATGCCATCTCTATTTCCTTTCACCTTGTGAAACTGAATCTCTGAGCCCATGGAGCTGTCATTCTCCATTTCTCCTCCAGCTTCTGACAGCCGCATTTCTGCCTTCTTATCTGATTTTCACAATAAGTACCTCATGTGAGATAATACGGTATGGCTTTTTGCTACTTGACTTATTTCACAGTTAATATAATGTCCTCTATACTTGTCCTTAGCACTTGAAGCTGCAAACCACTGTATAATACTGCCTTTTTCTTGTCCACTTGTCTGTCTGGACATGGGGTTGCTTTCATAGTTTATCTGTTATGAATAATAATACTTTCATGAACATGACAATAAGTATCTCTATCCAAAAGTAGAATTGTTATATCATATGGTAATTGTTTTTAATTTTTAGGCAACTATGGTACTGTTTTCCATACACTTTCTTGCTCTGCTGTGAACTCAGATTTGCATGAGAATTTTCTCCACACCCTTGCCAAAATGTTCTGGTTTTGGGAGGAGTGCTTTATTTTGGATAGTAGCCAACACAATGGATATAAAGTAGCATAGAATTAAAGTTTTCACTCGGATTTTTCTAATTAAGAGTAGTAATTGAGAACTTTTCATGTGATTATTAGCTATAGTGTACATTGTTTGGAGAAAAGTTTTTTCAAATTCTTTGCCTAGTTTTGAATTGGGCTACTTTTATTTTCATTGTTGAATTTTAGGAGGACCTCACCATGTCTTCTTTCTAACACCCATTTACTTTTGATTCAGAGATACAATCTAATAAAGAACAAAAGAGTGATCTTTGATGACAGGTGCAGTGATTGATGGGGATGGAAGCCAAGCACAGTCTTAGATGATGTAATACATTAGCTCACTCACTATTTTAGGTTAGCCTAAACTGAGCCACAAATCTACCTATCAGACTTTAAAATTTTTTAAAGTTTTATGTCCGTGTACCATATGCATACCTGTTGCTCATGGTGGCTAGAAGAGGCCATTGGATCCCCTGGAATTGGAGTTACAGATTGTTGAACCTCTATGTAGATGCTGGGAATTTAACCCCCGTCCTTTGGAAGACCAACTAGTGCTCTTAACTGATAGCCATCTCTTCAGCCCCTAATGAAACTAATTATTACATCTCTTTACAAACCACTCCCAACCTGAGTACAACTTCTAGAGAGCAGTCTTGACCAAAATACAAGCCAGCTTAATACAATATGTCAATATAATACTTCCAGAGAATGGACTGGATGGCTTAACAGACTTTATATTTTATTTAGAATATTTAATAAGGTATGTTAAGATGCGAATTTTTTATCTATAAATATTTTACCAAGCCAGAGTCATTATTATCAAGTAGGTGGCAAAATGCATATAACAGACAATAGCTTTTTTCGTCGAAATATTTCATTTATTTACTTATTTTGAGACAAGGGTCTCACAATGTAGCCCTGGCGTTGAACTCACAGAGTTCTGTTTGCCTCTGCCTTTGAGTATTAAAGGTGTCCACCATCTGGCCCAAATTTTACTTTTTTTGAGTGCATGCGGGTATCATCAAAGTGAGAAGGAGGTCTTGGACCTTTTGGAACTGATGTGGATGTTAAAAGTCTAACTTTGGTCCTCTGTAAGAACATTGAGCACTCTTAACAACCGTACCATCTTGACAGATCCCTCATTTCCCTCCCTCCCTCCCTCCCTCCCTCCCTCCCTCCCTCCCTCCCAAGGACTTAATACAGATTACCAGAAATATACACCTTCACATGTGTTTCACATTTGGTTTATAAAACAGTCATAAAAAGTAAAAAAAAATTCTCATATTAATTGGGAAAGATTTAAACTTTTATGTTGTGTGTGTGTTTGCACGCGTGCGTGCACACACCTCATTTTTACTTTGTTGTTTTTTGGGCACTCTGCACTTGTGTTATATGTTTTCAGATTTATGACTAGAGAAACCCAGTGCTTATACTATTAAATAAGATGGAAAACACTGTATGTGTTTACTTGGTTCACTTTGTTTGTGATAGTGATTAGGCTTAGGGCCTTGTGTGTATTAAGCAATCATTTTATAGCCTCTAATCACTTTGTGGTCACTTACAATATCATAATATGGGTTATTGTATTAGATTTCATAGTTAAGAGGTCGTGGATGAACTTAACAATTAACAGAGGAAAAGGGAAAACCATACAAAAGGGACAGAAGAGCAAGAAGGAACTGAGGAAGTGGAAACTCTTACTTTATGTCCTGTAATTATATCGTGTAATGTAAAGCTTCTTCACATGTAATGTTTAAACAGCCCCTCTCTTTCCTCATTTTAGAGATAGTCTGAGAAAATATGAATTAGCATTATTATATTTCTAAGAAGCATAAATTCTGCAATAAGGTGCGCATGCTTTTACTCAATAAGTTAGTATTTTTCTTGGTTTGGTATGACTGACAAGGAGGGCCTTTTGACCTTAGACATTTTAGTTGTCACCTTGTTCATGATCTGGGATAATTACAACACTAACATACAGAAGTTACTTTTGCTTTCTCTTGGGTGATGTTGCAGTATTTTATGGTCAATTACCCTTCCTATGTGTCAGTGGGCTCTGTTATTTATTTATTTTTGGACAGGGCCTCTGTAGCATTGAACTCACTATATGGCCCAAGGTGGCTTTGAACTCAGGATCCCTTTGCCTCAGCTTCGTGAGTGCTAAGATTACAGCCATGTGCCTCTGTGCCTATAATGAACATTAGAACATCAGTGAATAATGAATTCAGCAGTATTGACATGTTACAGTTCTTCGTGAAGTTATCAGTACATTTTAGCTTTTAATAATATAGTTTAACAGTGTGACTTTGCCATGTAATTCTTTTTTATAAGCAATTTATAAGGTTATCTTTTATAAGCAATAATTGCTATTTACCACATTTACCTAAAGTTCTGAAAATTTGGATTTTCTTTTGTTGGTTGTGAGTAATTAAATATAAAGTACTGAAATAGGAAACAACAGAGAAATTACTCAAAACATCAGTTTTTTGTATTGCATTACTGGGAGAGAGTTTTTCTGACTCTCATGAGATAGTCTGGAATGAAATGTCATCTTGAATGATTTTATTGTATTTTTGACATCACAATATAGTTAATGTTTTAGAATACTGAATGATCAAGTATTTAAAAGTAAGCTCATTTGGATAACTACTTAGAATTAAATATGAATGCAATTTCACACAATACTGAAGTTTAGAGTGTTAAATTTAACCTTGAACATTCCAGGATTTAGCCAACACTTTCTCAAGTTCCTGGTTATTTCAGGTGCTTATTTGCTAATAAATTTTTTTCCCTCCTCAGTTCAAAGCAGTATTCAACGGTTTCAAGAGAAGTTTTTTATTTTTGCTTTGACACCTCAGCAAGTTAGAGAGATTTGCATATCAAGGTAAGAGGAATGTTTTAAATACACTTTCTCTCAAAGGTTATGTGTGTATCTTCTAGAGTTATCTTAATAACTGGGTGAGTTAAATAGAAGTTTATTCCAAGATTGAGGTATTGATGTTTTGTTACTCCAAAAGCCTTTCCTTGGGGCTTATACATTTCCTGTGTCACACATGAATTTTTTCTGTTGTAATGCATTCCACTATGCAACATGACAGTGTCATGATACCATGTCTGTTACCTTAAGAATTTTAATTGCATCGATGATGACAATTACAAATACAGTCATTGTGAGTGAAGACTTCCATGTATAAACTTTGGGGGCTCACATTTCAGTCTATAAAGGTTGACTATTACTTTTTTAAAAAAAAAACTTATACATTTATTTGTGTGTGTGTGTGTTTGTGGTAAATGCCATGGTACATGTGTGATGTCAGAATATCAAGAATTCAAATTAGTTCTCTTCTGTTATGTGGCTTCAGGAACTGAACTCAGATTGTTAGGCTTAGAATCGAGTGCCTTTGCCACTGACCCATGTTGCCAAGTCCCAATTGGACTATTTCTCAACTAATATGAGTATAGTTTGACAAAGATTAGTCAAGTAGTAGATACTGTATATTAGAAAATGTTGTAACCTTTGAATTAAACCTCAAGCATTTTTTAGTCACATATGCCAGAATATTTTTTTGTTTTATTTGTATTTCTGGTGCTTGGAAACAAACCTTGGAACTTCTGTGTGCTGGTCAAAGGTTCCTATCACCCTCAATATTTCAAAGGGAAATTTTATTACAAATAGGGCAGCATAATAAAAGATCTTGTGAAAATTGGGCATGGTGGTGCATGCCTTTGAGCCTAGTTCTCCAGAGGTAGAGGCAAGAAGATCAGAAATTCAAGGCCAACTTTGGCTACTGGAGATTCTCTTTCAGAGTAAAAATGAACTTGATAATAGCCCAAAGATAAAGTAACTAAACAAACATTTTTGAGACTAAATGTGAATAACATTAATGATTCTTGGTTAAGAACAAAAGCTGAACTGGGCATGGTGGCACTTGTCTTTAATCCCAACACTCAGGAGACATCTCTGTGAGTTGAAGGCCAGCCTGATCTACATACTGACACTTGGTCTTAAAAAGAAAAGTGCTGGCCAGGTTTCTGTCAGCTTGACACAGGCTAGAGTCATTTTGGAAGAGGGAACTCAAAAGTCCCCCTAGATTGGCCTAAGGGTTTCTGTGGTGAAACACCGTGACTAAGCCAGCTTTAAAAGGGTCTTGTTTATGTTTCAGAGGTTTAGTCAGTGATCATAGTGATCATCATGGCAGGAAGCACGTAGTCACTGGAGCAGAAACTGGTAGCCTGATTTGTAGGCAGAGAGATTGGAGGAGGAAGAGAGGAAGAGGGAGACAGACACAGGGTCTTGAAATCTCTAAGGTCACCCTTTGTGACACACCTTCTCCAACAAGGCCACACCCACTCTGACAAGAATGCACTTCCTAATCCTTCCCAAATAGTTCCTCTAACTGGTGACTGAAGCATTCAAACCACCACACCTGCAATGCATTGTCTTGATTGCTGATTGATTCAGGACAGCCATTTCTCTGGATGGTGCCACCCCTGGGTGCAGTTTGTAGGTACTGTGAGAAAGCAAGCTGAATAAGCAGTACTTCTCTCTGGCCTCTGCATCACTGCCTGCCTCCAGGTTCTTGCCCTGATGAGTTCATTCCCTGTCTTCCCTCAATAGTGAAATGTTTAAGAGTTATATGCTGAGCCCAGCACTCGGGAGGCAGAGGCAGGCGGATCTCTGTGAGTTCGAGACCAGCCTGGTCTACAAAGGGAGTTCCAGGACAGGCTCCAAAGCCACAGAGAAACCCTGTCTCCAAAATCCAAAAAAAAAAAAAAAAAAAAAAAAAAAAAAGAGTTATGCTGGATCCTTTCATGGTTCATGAGCATGCCGCCCATTAAACCTTGTTATGAAGTGGGCACATTACCCATCCTACGTGAGGGAAAAAAAAGTTGTATGCTGAAATAAACCCTTTCCTCCTCGGATTGTTAGGGCCATGATGTTTATCAGCACAATAGAAACCCAAGACCACAAACCAGTAAAACCACAAAACCCAGAATAGTTCAGGGAAAAATTAGCTGTGCCTCCCTGGCCTAAATATTAAATACCCCCAATCAGGAGAAATACTGTTGTTAATTTTGTCAGTTTTGGATGGAAAAAAGAGGTCCTGTAGCATTTAATTTAGGTGAAAAGAAACTCAAAGTCATTTTCTGTCTCTGCAAAAGTGCACTTAAGATAAAAGGGAAAGAGAAGGGAAGTCTGTAGTACGATCATTTCCAGCTAAAGAGGGAGTCATTTTGCAGGTCCTCGGGAAATGCACAATGGTTCAGAGCTTGCTGCTCTTGCAGAGAACCCAGGTTTAGTTCATAGCTCTCACCAGGTTCGCAACCAGTTGCATTTCCAGTTCCAGGGTTCTGGTGCCTTACAAGCATACAAGTAGTACACTACATAAGTGCTGGCAAAATACTCAGAAAAACAACCTTTTCTAAAAGGGTGAGAAAAGTAGACAGTTGTTTTTGCTGTTAATACATTATTCATGGCCTTTTTCTTTCCCTTGTGGCACTAGGGAACCTCAGAGGTGGCTAAGCAAGTGCTCTATGGCAGGGCAGCACTAGCAGCCACCAAAACTGCCTTCTTAAAAGACTGGCATTAGAGAACTGAGGGTTCGCAGGTTAAATTACGTCCTGGGGCCATCGGGAAAAGTAGAGGGAAAATTTGAAATCAAATGAGAGGTCTTTTATTACCTCTTCCTTAAGAATGTTTTTGAGATGTTAGCATGAGTTTTTTTTTTTTTTTAAAAAAAAAAGAGAAAAGATACTGTAGCAAGTAACTTTGGGAAATTCTGTGCTTAACATATATGTATTTATAGACAGATATTTCAGTCCTTATTATGTAAGTGTGCATTGTTGAGCTTCTAAGTGATTATATCCACCTAACATTTGAAAGTGTGTAGATTTGATGATTAATCATAGTGTTTTAATTAAAATTACATAATGTTTTTTGTTGTTTGGTTTTTTTAGTTTTTCAAGACAGGGTTTGTCCTGGCTGTCCGAGAACTCTATAGACTAGGCTGGCTTCAAACTCATAAAGATCTACCTGCATCTGCTTCCCAAGTGGGATTAAAGGCATGTGCCAACCACCGCCTGACAAAATTATATATCTTAAAAAATCCTCAATATTTTATAATCTATAAAGTTTTAGGTTTCACAGGGTAATGTTTACATAAATAAACTGGTTTGTAATAGTTTTGAGATATTACTAAGCCAACAAAGAAAAAAGTACATTTTATATAAAAATGTATCATTAACATCTGTCTAGTGATAAATCTTTGCTTAAGGTCAACACTGAGTGATTGCTAGGAACAAGGTGAGATATGGAATGACATAATCACTTTTTCACGTCTGGTTGCGGTCTTGTTGTTTGTTTTGTTTTTTGAGTCATAGTTTCTCCTTGTAGCCCTACCTGTCGTGGAAGTCACTCTGTAGACCAGACTGACCTTGAACTCACAGAAATCTACCTGTCTCTGCCTCTTAAATGTTGGGATTAATGGCAGATTGCAGTCTTGTTAATGAACTGAATTATTTAAATAAAATTTCCATTGGCACTGCAAGGTGTTATATTAAAAAAACTAATTTAGTCATGGCTGTGAGGAGATACGATCACTGTTAATCTTTGTGTCTTAGGAAGCTTTACTGAGTTAGTATGTGTGTGTGTGTGCCTGCATGTGCACGGTTGTAAGTTGTTGCAAGCTACTTGAGCTATCTCTCCAGCCCCCAGTAACCATGTAATCAAAAAAATCTGTTTTTTTTCTTCCCTTTGGTGTTTAAAAACCTGTGTTGCAGGACTTCTTTGTATTTTGTCATCTGCAGCTCCTCTCACCTGTTTTCTGTGCCCTCCCTCTCTTGGCTGGGGCATGGCTTCCAGTCTTCTCTCCTCCAGCGCTGTGCATTTTATGCCTTTCTGCAGTCGCCTCTTGGTATTTCTTTTTCATGTGCTCCCAACCTCACAAAGTTCCCATCAGTCTGTCTCTGGTTGAGAATCCCCTTATGCTTGGAAGCACTAAACAGAAAGAGAATTATTCTTGTACAATCATGTGTTCTAATTTGGTTGTGGCACATAGCTTGATCTTTTAAGACAAATCAGATTTCCCTTTTTCCTGTAGTAATTGTCACATTTTATTTTGGTTGTATCTACTAGCATGTATCTTTAAGGATAACTGTTTCATTTGCCTTTGAATCTTCAGGTCCAAGACTGAATTGTTTGACTTGAGTAAGTGGAATATTTGAATGATTTAATCAAGAATTGCTTAGAAGGGGTCAGTAGTATATAGAATATTGGAATATTTTGAAGAAATGCTTGAGGAAGATGTAGGCCATTGGAAGAAAGGGACAGGAGGCAGCTGCTTACACTCCTGTGCCCACCTTAATAAGCCCAGGCATTTATTTGAATGACTGTGTTTGAGTCATCACAGTAACTTGATGAAGTGATGTAGTCATTTTCTGTCTTTAAATGACATCGAATATAGAAAGGTTGACTCTTTTGCCCCAGGTCAGAAAATATGGGATTAGGGAGTTTAAGTAGTTACTGCTGTGCCTTCCAGGGAACTATAGAATAAAAATTAGCGAGCAAGGTGAAGGCTAAAGGACTACTCTAATATTTTTCCTGGTACAATCCAACATGTAGAACAATGGTTAAGAGTGATACTTCATTTTTATCAGATTTTATGTATTGAATTTAAAAAGTGTTCTTTTGAGACAGGGTGTTATATAGGCCCAGGCTGACCCAAAGCTGTTGGTTAGCTAAGGATAACTTTAGATTTCTCATCTTCATACCTCTGTGCTGGGATTTCAGGCATATACTACCATGTGTGTTGGCTAGTTTTTCGTTTTTTGTTTTTCTATGCAAGGTAGAGTCATCCGAGAGGAGGGGACTTTAATTGAGAAAATACCTCCATAAGGTTGGGTTGTAGGTAAGAGTGTAAGGCATTTTCTTAATTAATGACACTGTTCCATGGTTTCTGCATCACATCAGCTCCTGCCTGAAGGTTCCTGCCCAGTTTCGGTTTCTGCCTTGACTTTCCTCTATGGACTATGGGTCAGGAATATAAACCAAATAAACCCCTTCCTCCCCAAATCGCTTTTGGTTGTGATGTTTCATCACAGCAACAGTAACCCTAAGAAATTCAGCAAGGAAAGATACTTCCTGAATTGTAATGTGCATACATGTCACCTGGAGATCTTGTTTTGTTTTCTTCTTTTTCTTGATTTAAGTATGTGTGTGTAGGTGCCGACATAGACCAGAGGAGTTGGAAGTCTCTGGAGTTGGGCTTTAGGTGGTTGTGGGCCATCTGATATGGATGCCGGGAATTGAATCTGGGTGTCTGGAAGAGCATTGTGTTCTCTTAACCATGGAGCCATCTCTCCAGCTCATGGAGATCTTGTGAAAATGCAGATTCTAGTTGTATAGGTCTGAGACAAGACCTGATATTCTGCATGTTTAATCGTTTCCTAAAAAATAACAGTTCATCTTCAGTTTAGACTCCATTCTGATACTAAATATTCCAGAAATAATAAAAGATTCTGTGTTTGTGGTTTGATACATGGTTATGAAATTACCCTTATTATCATTTTGAAACTGTAGGCATTAGTTTTAATTCTATGTTAGAATCACCTGTGTAGCTCTAAAAGCTATGATATACTCAAGCCAATAAGAATTACCTGATGAAGGAAACTGTAGTATACAAAAAAGTCTCCAAGTGGTTAGAATGTTCAATCAAGGTGAAGAACAACTAAGCATGTAGATTAATTCGGTAAATTTCTCCAGAAACTAGAATGTTCTTTTCAGGCTAAATTTGTTATGTATTAAAGCAAATATTTTATCACCAAGAACTGAAAATATACCTCAAAACTGATGTGAAGAATGATTAGTAAGTAGGAGTTATAATTATTGCATTGTTTTTGTTTGTTTGGTTAGTGTCATTTTGAATATTTTTTTTTAAAAAATTGTGTGTCTAAATGATCACCTGTGAACTCACTCATGACAATCTGTGTGGTTGCCGGAGGTCAGTGTTGATTTTCTTCCTCTGTTGTCTCTACCTTGTTCTTTGAGCCAGGGTCTCTCTGTGAGCCTGGAACTTGTTATTCTAGTTATACTGGCTGGGCAGCAAGTCTCAGGGATTATCCTGTCTCCATAAATCCTGCCCCCTGCAAGGGTTGGGATAGGGTGGGTGTAGTTGCTCACTGTTGAAACAGCACCCCAGCTTTAACAGGGTGCCTGGGATCTGAATCATTACCTACTGAGTCATGTCCTCAGCCCTTGGTCTGTGAAATTTTATTGTTCTTTTTTAACCTCTTTTTTTTCCCCTTTCTTTTTTTTTTTTCCCCTTGCCAATAGGGATTTTTTGCCAGGTGGCAGGAGAGATTATACAGTCCAAGTTCAGCTTCGGTGAGTTTGATATTTTCCTAATTGCTATGTGCATTGGAATTTTAAACATGTAAGCATGTTTTGGTTCCCTAACAATTTTTTATTTATGTTTTTTTAAATACAGACTTTGCTTGGCAGAGACCAGTTGCCCTCAAGAAGATAACTATCCCAATAGTTTATGTATAAAAGTAAATGGGAAACTCTTCCCTTTGCCTGTAAGTTGCTTTCAGTTCACCAGATTTTTATGTAAGTTTAGTGTAAACACTGGCAAGGGTGGGAACAGTGACAACTTGGTACTAATTAATATTTCTAGCCACCTTTAGAGACATGCTTGTAACTTCTTGGATAACTAAATGGCTGATTGGGGGCCTAAGGAAGATTAAAAAGGATAAGCCTGAAATGTTCTAGAATTCAAGCAAGTTTTCACTGGCTTGGGTCATATCTAACTGCTGAACTTGGGCACTTGAGCATACAAAAACATGCTGTAGTGAATTTCTGGATTAGCTGTGTTTGGCCTGTAGAGTCTATCAAGGAAAGCAGAAATAGCAACAGAATCCAGGATTCTAAGCTTGGCCTTGATGATCCTAAGGAATCATGCTTCGGATCCCAGGGAATGAATAATTGATTGGCGGCTTGTTGTCTAACAATGAAGCAACTTCTGGAATATATATATATATAGTGTGAACTTGGATAGCATGTTTCTGGCTGAGATTACTGGAATGTTCAAATCCTTGGGTCTTAAAATAACTCTTCAGTTGTTGAACTGTACTATGTATTATTTCCCACTGTGGACTGGAATACATTACTAAATTGGATGTAGAATGCTACCAATACTGTAATTCGGGGGGGGGGGTGCCTAGTTATTGAGCACTACAAAGCAGAGGTGTACATTTGTTGTCATGGAAATGCTCCGTGACTCCACTGCTATTCCAAGTTACCTTTTCAGCAAAAGCAGCTATTAGAGACAAGGAAGCTATGTGACATCCCTGCTAGGCTTGAGACTTGACTTTGAATGACTATGTGAGTAATTCCTTTGAGTAGCTGAGCAAGTCATACAGTGCAGTCCAGAAATCTAGGTTCTCTAAGAACCAAGTGCTTATTACTGTTCATGACCTAAGCTACCCTCTACCCCCAAGAAAACCAACCTTCCATAGTTGCTAAGTGTGCCATTTGTCTTATTCATTGATATGGGACCTGAAAAATTACTTGTCCCTTGAATTTTATGTGTGTGTGTGTGTGTGTGTGTGTGTGTGTGTGCGCGCACACGCATGTGCTTCCATAGAAGTGCCATGGTGAACATGTAGATGTCAGATGCAGTTTTGACTAAGTTCCCTCCATCTTTATATGGGTTCTAGAGATTGAACTCTGATCACCAGTCTTATATGGCAAGCTCCTTTACCTGACGAATACATTTATTGGCCTACTCAATGAATTTTACAGAGCTTAAGCACAGCTGTACCAGTAACTGACTCTTGTAGAAGAAGTTTGAGAGACTGAAGCCTGAGACAATCCTTTGAGGACAAAAGGGGAAATTAAAGGATCTGGGTCCACACGGTCTGGGAGGATTGCTTACCTTACATGATCTGTACATGTTCAAAAGCCATGTGAGTTAGACATGGCAACACACCTGGAATCCCGTCATGTGGAAGCCTGAGGCAGAAGGATCTAAGGTTCAAGGCTTGTCTGGGATACATTGTGAGACTCGAAAACCCAATGGGACATTTTGCCTCTTGGATTTCTGACTTCAGCATTAACAGTCAGAAGAGTTGTCTTTTTCTGAGTGTATTGCACAAACATCTGAATCAGGGGAGGAAGCACCTCTGCTTTGAGCTGAAGGATGACCAGTTGGGTGGTTGGATGTTTGAAAAAAGGAAGCCTGGCAAAATCACAAATCATAGGACGATTCTGTGCATACTTTATGTGATTATTTTCCCCCTACATTTACTTTTTAATTCATAGTATGTGCTAAGATTGCTGGACTCTTCGTTGTCTAGTTCTTTTACTATCCTTGAAGAAAGATAAAACTGTGGAGCCTTTTTGAGTGTTTATAGACTCAGTCTCATCCTATCCATTGTGATATGACTGCCATTGATGGAGTTTGTTTGCAGTGTATCAGAGCTTCCTAAACTTGTTGGCGTTTTTATTATAATGACTGATGGCTGTGCAGTGTATCTGTGTAAGTTTCACAAAACTCTGAATGGCCCAGTCAGTACCATGCTTTGGCTTAGTATTTAAATGGATGAGGTCTGTAACTTCACTATGACATGTCTCTGTTACTCTTCTAGACATTTTGAGACAAAATAAATGAGATATTTGGAGTATTCCTATGACATTGTTAAGACAATGTTGGTGTCTGCCCTAAAACACTAACGACTGTTAAGTCCTTACGTTAGGCTGTTTGTAGAGATAGATATCAGGAAGAATGTGAGTACTGGGAGAAAGACAGACACATTTCAAAGAGGGAAAGCAACAGGCTCTTGGCATTTTGCATCAACTCCACATGCTTCATGAAAGTTTCTTTCTTGTTATTTTGAGACCTGATTGGCCTGACACTTGGTATGTGGACTAGGCTGTCCTAGTTATAATTTACCTGCCTGTCTTCTGAGCTCTAATATTACAGATGTGTGTCACCATATGTGAGAAATCTTAGGGAACAGGTGACAAGCTCACATGGAGCTGATGAAAAACTGCTCAAAATACCTGTTGCTCCCCAATTACTGGTCATTGGGATAATGAAATGTAGTGTCTCTTTGTACTTGGCAGGGTTCTGAGGTTCATCAAATCCTGTAAGCATACTACAGCCTCAAAGATGCAGTGGATCTTTGGGGGTTGAATTGAGCTCTGGAGCTTGTGGGACCTTAACCTTATTGTAAAAGGCATTAATAGGGCACAAAAGATTGTGACTTGTTCTTGCCTTGATCTCAGTTTGCTGAAAACAGATCCTGCAGGGATAATCTTGATAGGATTATGGAATTTTCCATGGTAAATTTGAACATAACTTGTCTATGACCTAGCATAAGTCCTTACATATGTGTCTCTGTTACAATATCCAGTCATTGTAGACCCATTGCAGATGGCTGCTATATTGCATGCACAAAGTAAATGGAATAAGGAATATTAATTGCTTTGATAGTATTGTGTCCTCGAACTCCCACATATCAAGTACGTGATAAAAGCACTTTTATTTTACCCACTTCAAGATGATTTCATTTTTTTTTCTTTAAATGTATATGTTATGTGCAAGTATGTAGTATTTTATGTTCACATGTTGACATGTGTTCAGACTGATGTATGTTTATGCATGTAGAGGCCTAAAGTTCATGTTTGGTGTCTTATTTGATCACTCTCTACTTTATGTTTGGAGGCAGGGCATCTAATTGAATCCAGAGCTACCAATTCCTGCCAGTTTGCTCCAGGAATCTTGTCTTTCCTCTTCATTGTTGTGATTCTAGGAGGCTGCCATGCCAGCCTGTTTTTTTCCTGTGTCCCAGGGATCAGAACTCTGGTCTTCATACTTGTACAGCAAGTGTTTATCTACTGCACTGGCTACATGTTTAATTTTTAAATTTCTGTGTGGGTGTGCATGTGCCCAAGGTTGATATTGGGATATTTTCCTCTATTCTCCATTTAATTTTTAGAGACAAAGTCTCTTGCTTAAACTGGAACTCACCAACAGTCTGAGTTTCTTTTCCTGTTGCAGTTATAATATAAACACCTGGGTAAAAGCAGCTTGAGGGAGAAATTTCCTCCTTGATGGGAAATCTTATTGTGCAGATTAAAGTTCTTGGGTTGATGAATCATTGAAAATGGGACAAGTAGCTTTCATTTGCTTCATGATGTGGTACCATAGAAGGACACAACATTCCCTATGAAATTTTGTATCCAAAAGTCCAAATCCAAGGACTAGAGAGATAACTCAGTGATTAAGAACTCTTGATGCTCTTGCAGAAGACCTGGGTTTAGTTTTCAATTTTCACATAGGGCAAGTCACATTGAATGGCCTGGAACTCCAGTTCCAGATTCCAGCACTTGCCTCAGATTCTTCTTGGCTCTACAGATGCTACATTTTAGAAATGATTAAAGAAATAAAAGCTGGGCCTTATGCAAACTGGAGAGAATGAGGCAATGCTGTTGATTGAGCCAACAGCTTTGTTCTGGCTCTAGAGTGCTAACACCTAGCCCTAATCTATCTTTTGATACATTTTTATTTCTCTTGGTGCTCTATGAGAATCTTGTCTGAGAAAGTTCCCAAGGATACAAAGCCTATGCAGAAGTTGGTTGGGAACGGAAACCTTCCTTTATTGGGAATTTACACTTGGCATTTTCCCTATGGAAGCTTGCCAGGTTATTTTGAGCATATGAAAATCATCTGGCTAAACTGTAAATACAGAGGACAATAGTAATGCTTTGGGTGAAGGAAAAGTGTTTCGGTCCTTAGTGCCGGAATCTCCCTACAGCCGCGAGATGCTAAATTCATTCTTTTTTTTTTAAAATATTTATTTGTTTATTATGCATACAGTATTCTTCCTGCAGGCCTCATTACAGATGGTTGTGAGCCACCATGTGGTTGCTGGGAATTGAACTCAGGACCTTTGGAAGAGCAGGCAATGCTCTTAACCGCTGAGCCATCTCTCCAACTGCTAAATTCATTCTTAAGGTATCTCTGAGTCTTCTTTCCATGGACCCTGTGAACCCAACACCTGTGCCATGACAAGACACAGTGAAGGATGTTCTCAAGATCTGTTTTACTTGGGTATATTCTGTAGCTCTGCTTTTGTACCAGTCTGAATTTTATCTTTTGTAAGGTATATAATTCAACATGGCTGAAACCTGTGGTGATACTTTGTACTATAGCAAATAAAGCTTATCAAAGATTAGAGTGCAGAATTAGTTCCATAGTTAGCCATAGAGGCCAGACAGTAGTGCACACCTTTCATCCCAGCACTCGGGAGACAGAGGCAGTTCAAGGCCACCCTGGGCTAAATGAGATTGAATCAATCTAAAAGAGAAACAGAGCTAAGTGGTGGTAGCTCACCCCTTTAATTCCAGTGCTTGGGAGGCGAAAACAGGATGTGATGTAGCTGGGTGGAGAGCGGAATATAAGGCAAGAGGAGACAGCCCCTCTTTAGATGAGCTATTATTGAGGTATCAATTTATCTGTATAGATTGGTTTTCTGTAAAAAGATTCATTAGCCAGTATGCCAAAATGTCAACATTAATTTAAATGGTGGAATATGGGTTTTTATTTTTCTGGTATATTTGTATCTAAGACAAAATAAAAATAATAACAAAAATTAAGCAAGGTCCTGTTTGTATCTTGAAGAAAATGGTTAAGTCATACAGAACCTTTAGAATTAATTTTTTGTTATAGGGCTATGCACCACCACCTAAAAATGGGATTGAACAGAAGCGCCCTGGACGTCCCTTGAATATTACATCTTTAGTTAGATTGTCTTCAGCTGTGCCAAATCAGATTTCTATTTCTTGGGCATCAGAAATTGGAAAGGTAAGAATTGTTTTCCTGGGTAGGATGAAAGCGTGTCTTCATTGGGAGTTGATTTCTTTTTTTAGGATGCCAGCTTTGTATAGTGATTGCTTGTTGCTCTGAAAATACCTGATAAAAGTACCTTCAATGAAGAGAAGCGTATTGTGATTCATAGTTGGAGTTGATAGAGTTCGCCGTGGTGTGGTGGAAAAGCAGCTCCTTGCTTTGTATCTCAGCTTTACCCCTTAAAGGTTCCACAGCCTCAAAGCAGCACTCCCACCTGGGAACCAAGCTTTCAGACACGTGGGCTGATGAAGGATGCTTCACATTGAAACTGAAGAACGTTATTTCCTTCTGTTTTCCGACTATAACCTCTGAAAAGCAATTTTTTTCTATGCAGTGATGATAATGTGGAGATTAACTTTAATATTTCATGAATTTGGTTTTCATTTTACAGTGAAAATATATGTATGTTTATATTTCTTCAAATAGTGGTTTAGTTTAAGCTTGGTGTGTGTCTAAGAAGTATTTTTATAACCTGAAAATGTATTTATGAAGATCAAAAAACAGCTTATTGGTCTTTGTTGGAAATGGTTAACAGTACTCATACTTAAAAATAATCTGTTAATAACCTGTTCTTAGCTGGTTGGTGGTGTACATCTTTAATCCTGGTACTTGGGAGGCAGCAGCAGGCGGATCTCTGTGAGTTCAAGAAACCTGTCTAAAAAACCAAAACCTTAGAAGCTTTTCTTTTTTTTTTTTTTCCAATTGGTGTTTTGTCATGGGTGTTGTATCCCCTGTGTGCCCTGAAACTGGAGTTACAGACAGTTGTGAGCTGCCATGTGGGTGGTGGGAATTGAACCCAGGTCATCTGAAAGAGCCCCCAGTGCTCTTAACCTCTGAGCCATCTCTCCAGCCCCCCCCCCCCAACTTTTTTTTAGACTGGTTTGGTGGTGCGAACTCTTAATCCCATCACTAAGGAGTCTAAGATAGGCAGATCTCGTTTGCAAAGCAAGTTCCAGGCCAGCCAAGGCCTGTCTCAAAAAACAAAAGAAAAAGCACTAAAAATCAGATATCTGTTCTTGCCTTTAAATAAGCAACTAGTAAGTCAGATAAGATCCAGACCATGTCATAAAATAATCAGAATTGCTTCAGGTTGATGAGCATGACTTTCTACTGATGCTCAGTCTCAAAATGAAGATATCAATTATGATATTGGCTAAAGCAGACAGTTTGTATTGAGTTCATTGTTTATACAATAGACAGTAGAAACATTTTTGAGTATTAACTGTCGTATTCCCATTTCATGGAAATAAAATGTGATGTTCCTGTATCATGGCCAGAAATTGAGCTCTATGTTTATTGTAGGTTTTTTTATTTGTTTCATTTTAGCTACAAAGATAATTAGAGATCTGTAAATAACTTAAATTTTTAAATAAATTTGCAGACATCCTAGTTTTGTTGTATAATGGGAACACTTTTAATTAAGGTGATCACTGAACCTAAAATTTAAGCAGTGCTGTTGGAATTTGGATACTTAAAAGAACATCAAAAATATTTAGAAGTATTTGGTTTGGCAATTATTTAATGGTTTCTCCATTGTGAAATTGAGTGGAATTATGCAGTGAAGAGGCAGAGCAGAGTATTTTAGCCCTCAGGCCTGTATAAATAGTTAGCAGCAGTTTCTTTGTATAGTATCTAGGTTTAGAATCAGACATAGGAGCTTTCTGCTCCTGGTTTTTATCTTTGTAATTTGTTTTTGTGTTTTATTTGTCCTTTCTTAGTAAAATGCTCCTTAGCAGTGGAGTTAACTTGTTAGTCTTTTCTTCAGAAAAAGCTAATATGGACTTTATGGTGTAATTTGCCTGAGGTCGTGTAACAGGTAGTCTCTTCTGAAAGAATTAGAACTTTAGCACTCTAAATTTGAAGTGTTAATTTAGAACACTGTCATTGAACTTGGTTTATGCAATGTGAACCGTTTTCAAATGAAAGTATGAAAGCAAGCATTATTACATTAGTAAATAAAAACAAAATTTTAGTTGCCATGGGACGGAACATTCTCAGGGTGGCCCCAAGCTACTCATTTTGCTAAGTTAGAAAACATAATCTGAAAGCACTTGTCCACGCTATTTACCACTCATGGAAGTCTTAAAATGACAAGTGACTGGAATGTAATTTCACAGTGAGGAAAACCAGTGCTTCCCCAAACGCTTAGTTGATGTTGTTCCTGTCCCAGTTGCTGACTCTCTTTTGGGGGGTTATTTGAGTGTTACCTGTAGAGTCTGGAGTTTCTTCCATTTGTATTTTATATAAGTTTTTAAAAAACTGTCTTGTCCTTAAAACAGATTTTCTTTTTTATAGAATTACTCCATGTCTGTATATCTTGTACGACAGCTCACATCAGCCATGTTATTACAGAGATTAAAAATGAAAGGTATTAGGAATCCTGATCATTCCAGAGCGCTAAGTAAGTAATGTTTTAAGACTAAACATATGAGACACATTGATGAAGGAAAGTCCTTACATACATAACAATATACAGTAATATTAATCACTAATATATACATACACATGCATACCATATATACACTATATATGTATACACAGACACATGCATAGTATATATGTTCATGTGATTGTAGCAAGTAACTTGAATTAGTTACTTAGTGAAAGAAACCTCAGACACATTATTACATTGTTATCAGTTGTTAGAGGAAATAAAGAATATAGCTTTTCTGTCTGCAAGTTTACCCAGTTGTTGGAAACAGCTAATGCAGTCTAATAAAAATGTAATGAGTATGTGTTGGAAAACATTAAAGTTCAGGCCCCTGCTCCATTCCTTATTCCTCTCCTAATTGTGTTCTTAAATCCTAAAACTGATTTTTTTTTGTTTGTAACTCTTTCCTCCCAATGGCCTTAATTTTTAAAATCTTAAAAATTCAGCATGTGATACAGAGTTTAACCTGTTGGTGATTCCTTAATCTAATAATGGAAATGTGGTTGTGTTTTTACTACATTAATAGTCAACATTTTGTCTTTCTTCACCTATTCAAAGGGGGGTTGGAACTTTTCAAATATTTTCTGTAATTTTTCTCTAATATTATCATAATTTCTAAGTTTATTACCATTTTCTTTTTAAAGTTAAAGAAAAACTTACTGCAGATCCTGATAGTGAAATTGCTACAACTAGTCTTCGAGTGTCCTTGATGTGTCCTGTAAGTAAGCTGACAAAATATTCTGATCATTTTGCATTTCATAAATGACTAGTTATCTTATAAAGTTGGGGTGGGTATAGATAAAAGAATATTTTGATAGAATTCTAAATTTTTGCCTTTTCTATTAGATATCTTCATGAGTATGTGTTAGGGTATTTTGTATCTTAAGCAATTATAAAGCAGTAACTTACAAGAGAAGAAGCCTTAGGCTCAGAAACCTGTCATAATTAATGATGTAAAGAATGCAGCTTCGTTTGCATATTAAGAGCTTCTTTTTATCAGAATGCATGTAATACTATAAATAGCAATGTTACTAGAGTCTGATAAATGCTAATTGATGGTCTTGGTTTAATGAGTTAGGATGTGTGGACTGTCTTTTTAGTGCACTCTTAAAGTTACACAGTAATTTTTATTTCTTATCTCCTTACATAGAGTAAGGTGAGAAATCATTCAGTCGCTCTGAGATCTTCTGCGTAATGTGTGGTTGGCACTGAGCTAACTGAGAGAAAAACAGTCTAGTTAGAGAACACATCCCATGAAAAAGAGGCAGACTACATGTAGTGATAAGTGAAGGGGGGTGGAGGAGTGTCAGGATGTGGCTGAAGCTTCTGTAAAATGAAGTGTGTGGAAGAAAGCCTTTCAGACAAGAAGATCTTTATGAGAAAAGCTGTGAGTCATGACTTTCTAGTGTAGTTTAGATAACATTTGGTGATTGCTACCTTTGTAAGACGTGCTTTGTAAAAATTTAATAGAGAAGTATGTTAGAGGGAGAGGGAAGAAAATAATTGTTGGGTTCTGTAACATGCAAATGTTGGAGCAAGGTGTGAGTGAGGCATTATATTTATTTTGTAGATGAGGGTCCTGGTCAAGCATAGTTAACACAAATCAAAGGGTCACAAATAGAACTGTCATCCTTCCAATTTTGTTTCCAACAATTGCTGCCAGATTGGGCTAAAATGTCAACGCACTGGTTTCTAATAGACTTTTTTCTGCTGTCTTGATAAATGTTGTTTGTTTATTTATCTTTATGAAGCTTTTTTGGAAAGCGTTTGTGTGTATGTGTGTGTGTGTGTGTGAGCGAGCATGTCTATCTGCATGTCAGGCCAGATGGCAATCTAAGCCTAAGGTGTCATTTTTTTCAGGAACTATTTATTCTGAGTTTTTGAGCCAAGATCTCCCTGGGACTTGGTACTTGCCTGCTGGGCAGTGTTTTTGGTCAGTGAACCCAGTAATCTTCTATCTCTGCCACCCCAGCACTGGGATTACAAACATGCTACTACACCCACTTTTTTTTTTTTAATCTCTCCAGCCCATTTTTTAAAAACTGTTTTTCAGTTATCAAAATGTATTAGTAGTTACACTGTCTTATTTTCTGTCTGTTTTGTTGAGTAAGTTAGTATAACTTACTCAGCTTATTTTCATGACTTTTTCCACACACTAATAGTGTAAAGAAATAAACTCATTTATATTGATGCAGGATTCCTAAATTGAATATGACTATTCCAGAGACTATACCAGTACTACATAAATACAGGGATTCCTTCTAAGATTGCAGAGATAGTTTGGTTTTAGAAAAATTCTTATAACTGTTTTATCTTATACTTGAAAATGTTATATATCTAGTCAGCTTCGATTCTGAGTAGGACATAAATTTAATAAAATCAGAAAATATAGGGATTAAATTCTTAGGTCAGTATTCTATTTAATGTTATAAAAACTAGAGGTACATTATGGCAATGAGGAACATTTGGATATGCATGTAACTCTACTAACTGTCTCTCAGGAGTCTAGTTGTCTGTAGTTTCTTGTAATATTTACAGCTTTAGCTCAAAATAGAAACAAAGTTTGTGGCTCCTGGACTATGGGTTGCTCTTAACTTTATAGTAGAGTCTGGAAAGCGAAGGGGTAATCTGTTTTCAAAGAAAGAACAAGGAAATGCATGCTTTAAGAGAACAGACTGGATTTTCTGTTAAACTCAGGTTAATTCTACATGGTGAGGTCTCTAGCTTTTTTGTTTCTTTAGAGACAGGGTTTCATCATGTATACCTGGCTTTCCTGGAACTCACTCCGTAGACACGCTGGCCTCGAACTCACAGAGACCCTTCTACCTGTTTCTGGCCCCCAAGTGCTAGGATTAAAGGTGTGTACCACCATAGCCTGGCTTAGGTTACTAACTTTTTAAGAATCCTTTCTCCTGCCCTTGTTTTCTCTTTCTCCTTTCTAGTCTTATACATTCTATTACCTAGTCAACAAACACCAAGAACACTTTGAGCTGGTATTGAGCCAGCACTGGGGAAATACAGGAATAGACACAGATACTATCCTTTGTTAGAACTGCTCATAAATGGAGATGTTTTCTGTAATGATATGTGGAAAGGTCTTAAGGGTTCTAAAAGGAAACTTCACCTGGTCTAATGAAGGTGTGGGTGTCAGTGGACCTCTTCTCTAAGAAGTAAGCAGAGCAATATAGATATAGCTATATAGAAACATACTGGAAATTGACACATTTGATTATATAATAGTAAATTGTAAAAGTTTTCATGAATATTTGAAATTTATGTTGCACATGAAGCTTATATGTAAAGAGCTCTGAAGAAGTTTAGTGACTGTGAAAAAATCAGTAAAGAGTGTGCATAGAGAGTTCTTAGAAACATACATAGCTCTTAAAAGTAGAAGAAGCTTCAGTTCACACTGAAAATAAGAGAAATGTAGTTCATAACTGTCTTGAAGTATTTCTTACCAGCCGGACTGGTGGAAATCAAGCATTCAATAACACTGGTGATAATGGTTGAATGGAGTCAAGCCCGTTAATGTATGATTTTTACAAATCATTAGATTACTCTATTTCAGGTAGTTTGTCAATGTTCAAAGATCCCAAAGAATTCTTTTTGATCCAAAAATAATTTCATTTTGAGGTACTTAATTTATAACATCATGGCGATACAAGGTGGGAAACGCTTAAGTGTCTGCACCACTAGTGTACTAATTAAGTAAACCATGATGTCTTTGTATTGTAGTAGCTTAAAAAAAGATTTACTTTCTAAAGTGTGTGTGTGTGTGTGTGTGTGTGTGTGTGTGTTCGTTCGTGTGTTCATGTGTTCCTGTTCACATGAGGGCAGGTGCCCATGAAGGTCAGAGGCATGTGGAATTGGAGTTACAGGTGGTTGTGAGCCACCTCATGAGGTTCCTGGGAGGCGAACTAAGGTCACTTCAGCTTCAGTATGTGCTTTGAACCATTGATCTTGCTCTCTAACTTCTAGTGGTTACTTTTTTATACAGATTTATGTAGTAGCTCATGGGTAACAGTAAGGTACAAAATTTTGTAAAATGCACCATCATTTGTGAGAAAATGAGTTGTAAAATATATATTCGATTTCTGCTTAGAACTTTCACGAAAGGGCATGCAAGAAATGTCTAACAGTGATTTCCTTAATAGAGAGATTAGGGGCCAGGTAAGATGCAGGCTTGGGTTTTGTTTTGCTTTGGTGTGTGTCTTTCTCTGCCTTTGGACTTGCACATTACTAAAGTGAAATGATCTTTCAGAAATCTTGAGATTACCCATAAATAAAACTATAAAAATATCTTTATGAAAACAAATTTAGGTTGGTTCTTAAGACCTTTATGAATACCCTTTTTCTCCTGAAGGCTTTCTTGTCCTATTTGAGCTCATTTTCATGTTGTGTTCTCTGTTTTGTAGTTAGGAAAAATGAGGCTGACGATCCCGTGCCGTGCAGTGACTTGTACACATCTGCAGTGTTTTGATGCTGCCCTTTATCTTCAAATGAATGAGAAGAAGCCTACCTGGATTTGTCCTGTTTGTGACAAAAAGGCTGCCTATGAAAGTCTAATCTTAGATGGGTAAGTAAGTGTATCTATGGGTATAACTGTGGCCAAACAACTCAAAAAAGAAATAGGTGGAAAAATAGGGGGCGGGATGACACACAACAAAACACAGCCTGCTGATGAGGCAGATCTCTGCATTTAAGGCTAGTTAGGACTGTATAATGAGACGCTGTCTTAAAAAATCAAAGCACTAAGTAGTAATAGGGCAAGTGGTTAATGCCGTCACATTATATAGCTGCTAAGTTTTAAGGCTGTGCTTAGGTTATTTTGACTCAGGAGTTAAGTTCTAAATGTTATTTCTTACATTGTTTGTTTTAGAACTGGGCAAATTATATGAACTGATTTTTAATAAGTGTTTTTAGTAAAGGTTTACTTTTTAAATTATGTGTATATATGTGTGCCTAAGTATGATCATATGCAGTAATAGGCCTGATTTCTATTCCTGTTCATCTGTCCATCCATCCACCCTCCCATCCGTCCATCCATCATTTTGCCTCCCTCCCATAAACAGGAATTGTAATTGTCATAAAGTGTAAAGTAATTGGAGTTCCAAAAAAGTTTTTTTTAAGTTTTGCACTATTACTTTGTTTTTAGTGTATACTATTTTCTTACTCCATCTTTGACTATTATGACATGTATGTACTTCTAATTGATTTACAGGCTTTTCATGGAAATTCTCAGTGACTGTTCTGATGTAGATGAGATCAAGTTCCAAGAAGATGGTTCTTGGTGTCCAATGAGACCCAAGAAAGAAGCTATGAAAGTAACCAGCCAGCCTTGTACAAAAATCGAAAGTATGTGCTGAATGGCAGCAGTTCCCAAAGAAGTGCAAATTATTAAATATTAACTTTAACCACTAAGAATATTTTTAGGGTTTAATTATCTAGCTTTATCTTTGGGCCATCCGCCCTTCTTTTTCTTCTTTTAAAAATATCTTACCAATGGAGGGGGGGAGGGACTTGGACTTTACACAGGGCAGGGAACCCTGACTGCTTTTTGGACTGGAGAGGGAGGGGGAGAGGAGTGGGGGGAGGAGGAGAAGGGTGGGAGGAGGGGGAGGGAAATGGGAGGCTGGGAGGAGGCGGAAACTTTTTTTTCTCAGTAAAAAATTTAAAAAAAAAATCTTACCCGCTTCTAAATAGTGTTTTATGTGCAAAACAAGTAAAGGTATCTAAAGTTAGGAAGCTTTGGATATAGCTTGAAGACTGGAATTCAGATTCTGGGCACCCATAAAAGCTGGGTGACCATGTGTAAGCCTAGTATGATTCCAGTACAGAGACAGGAATCCCCAAGGAAAGCTGTTCTCAACTGTAGATCAAGACTCCTTTGAGTTTGTGTAACATCATCAAAGTTTACAGGTATTTACATTATGATTCATGACAGTAGGATAATTAGAGTTATGAACTAGCAACGAAAATGATTTTATGGTTGGGGGTCACCACCACATGAGGACCTGTGTTAAAGCATTAGGAACCATTAAGGTTGGGAACCATTGAACTAGACTAAGTAATCAAATTGGTTCAGTCTATATGCGTTAGTAAAATAGCAAACAATTGAGGAATATTAACCTCTGTCTTTCACATGCATGCTCATATATGTGCAGACACACACATATGCGTACATGCATACTATGTATACATACTTGAGAAACAAACAAGAAAAGTTAGACATTGTTTTTTGTATCTGTACAGAAGCCAGTGTGGTTAGGGAGGTTACGTATTATTTATTAGTGTGAAGACAGTGGTCAGGAATTAGCTGTTATTGAACAAATTCTTCTATTTTTGTTTTTGGTAGAGGGATTTCATAGCTTTAGTCACCCAGCGTGTGCACTTGTTTTTAATCTCCTACACTAACCTGCACTAAAGGACACACTGAAAGAGTTTGAGGAAGTGAAGTCCATGCATACATTCAACCTCTGAATTCATTGCATTTGACTTTTTTCTGTGTTGAAATTCTAAAAAAAAAAAAGTAATAGATTTTCTGAATACTAGAAATAAAGACTTTATGGCTATGTTCGTTATTCTCTTATGATTGTCACGGATCTCTTAGGGGTTAGATTGCCAGGGTTGCCCTTATTATGTAAAAAGTGTGCAGACACAGTTTTATTGATTAGTATGTGATGTTTTTTCTTTCTTTCTTTTTTTTTTTGATAGATGAGAGGGTGTAACGTTACATAACATGCTAAACGTGATTGCTTATATTAACATAATGGGTGATGACTAGATGATTCATATCAGTTACTTAGGTAACTAATTTGGGATTTTTTTTTTAAAATATGAGCAAGATTGCTATAGTTGAAATGTCAGATTCTGACTCAGTGATGCTACATGTAAAAATATGCAGCTGCTGATACTGCATACTCGAGGCCAGATGTCTCTGACTTAATGGTGCCACATGTGTATAACAACACAAAGCTGACTGTGCACATTCTACACCGTTGTCACATGGCATGATACCAGTTCCCTAACCCTTAAGATCGGTCTGTATAATAATTACTAACCAGACAGACAGCGTGAGCAGTACTAGACCCTGTACTAACCTCCTGATAGTCCTGGAGAGAATAAGTGTACTGTGAAGGAGGCTCTGATCTCTGTCTGGAATGGCCCTGACTTTGACATAAATGTTTAACAGACAAGGTAGGCACCTGGACTCTGTCCCTACTAGAGTGCAACGGCTTCCCTGGATGTGTATCATCATGTATATATGTAGGCATTTAAGACTTAGAGCTCGTTTGTGTTTTATCTTTGATATTTCTTTTTTCTTCCTGTTGATCCACCTCCAGGTACAAGTGTCTTTAGTAAACCTTGTTCAATGACTATATCCAGTGATGCAAACAAGAAGAAGATAGATGTTATTGATCTAACAATAGAGAGCTCTTCTGATGAAGAAGACGACCCTCCTGCCAAAAGGAAATGCATCTTTATGTCAGAAACACAAAGCAGTCCAACCAAAGGGTTCGTCAGTTTATAGTTCACTATTGTTCATTGCACTTAAAACTAGTTGTTCTTGGGGTGGCTTTGAAATATGTCTGTGCAGAGTCACTATCGAAGACAATTTTCATCTGTTTTTGGTATAGTTGAAATATTTTCAAGTAAGAACATTATTTACAGGAAATCAAACTTTGATAGAAATATTCAGCGTCTCTGGGAAGTGGGAATTTAAGTGTTTATACCTTGTGTTATATTCTTGAACCCACTTGTATGATTTGGTATCTCAGTCCAGTGTAAGGATGTTGGTGTAATGGAATGTAGATGCCGGAGGCTTGGAAGGACAGATCATTTCTGCACTTGTATACTTGTGAGGTGATTTAGGTTGTATCCCTTGATTGACTTTTACCCACTTTCTGTTCTGTTAAAATGAGGAAAAATACCTGCTTCATAGAATCACTATTAGGTTTTCATGAGATTATAAAATAACCTGGCCATCATGTCAGGGACATGGTATTTCCTTAAGGAAAATTCATCATCTTTCCTTTCCACTTTACAAATCAAAATACGGACAAGCATATGGGTGCACCTTATCATGTACATTCTGTGACTAATATGGGGAAGGTATTGGGACCTTTGGAGCCCAGCTAGTCTTAACTGTGTCCTCAGTTTTATTTAGTATTTTCTTCATCTTTTTAATAACAAAATTTTACCCATCTTCAGCATACATCATATCATTGTACGTTCAGTACTCCAGAACAGTTCCAGCATATTTCCAGTGTGCAAACCCCACTTCCTCACTTGTTTGTTATCGCACTTCCTCTATATGTAGGCAGTGTCAATTTTTCTACTTATATTACAGCTTTTGAGAGACAGAGACAATCGGATCTCTTGAGTTCGAGGCCAGTCTGGTCTACAGAGTGAGCTCTAGGACAGGCAGAGCTATATGGAGAAACCCTGTCTCAAAAACAAAAAACAAAAAACAACAAAAAAATGTTAGGCTTAAAACTATTGACTGCTTTCTGTGCTATTAAAGCACTTATTCTAAGCTGGTATGGTGGCTAATACTTGTGATAGTAGCATTTCTGAGACTGAGGTAGGTAGATCACCATGAATCTAAAACCAACCTAGGCTCCTGCCCCCCAAAAATCCTAAAATAAAGTATTCATATTTAGGACTTGATTTATATATCACACTATGAACACAGGCTTATGTTTTCTTTTACCTATTTAATTAGAATACGTTTTTATTTTTAACACAAAGTGAGGAAACTATGTACTATTTTTTAGTGATATACTGAATTGCTGTTTTTTGCATAATTTGTTTGATACTTCTGAAGATCAGATGATAAACAAATGAAGATTCAGTTTTGAAGTGCTTACTGAAGTGTAGAATCAATGTATGTTTTAAGTATTTCTAAATTTTACCCTATCATTTTAAGTATAACTAAATGTTTATAGTTATAAGAGTTTCATACTTATTCATGTTTAAAATTCTATTCATGTTTTTCTATTCAAGGTTTAAAAATATTTCTTTTGGCTTTTTTGATGTTTTACCTACTTGCATGTCTACATGATAATGTCTGATTCCCTGGAACTGGAGTTATAGACAATTGTGAGCTGCCATGTGTGTACTGGGAATTGAACCTGGGTCCTCTGGTAGCTGGTGCTTTTAACTGCTGAGCCATCTCCAGCCCCTCATGATCAGTTTTTGCCTGAGAAATTGTTATGTGATCCCAGGAATAATGAACTAAGTATGCACATCATTTACTTATACTAAGTCATAAACTTATTTAGAAGCAGTTCTTTAGTATATATATATAACTACCATTTATTAAAAGTGGAAACAAATTGATACTAGTGAGGTAGTATTCTTTTACATAAAGAATTAAATGGTTGGTGCTGGAGAGATGGTTCAGAGGTTAAGAACACTGACTGTTCTTCCAGAGGTCCTGAGTTCAATTCCCAGCAACCACATAATGGCTCATAACCATCTGTAATGAGGTCTGGTGCCCTCTTCTGGCATAGAGGTGTACATGCATGAGGAACATTGTATACATAATAAATACATCTTAAAAAAAAAAAGAATTAAATGGTTGGACAAGGAGATGGTTCTGTGGGTGTGATTCTGAAGTTAGGTCCCCAGCACCCATGTAAATTTCTGATCTATATGCGTCTTGTGATTCAGCGCAGAGTTGAGGGGATGGACAGGCAGATACCAGAGGCTAGCTGCCCATCCAGTCTAGCTGAATCAGTGAGTGCCAGGTTGGATGAGAAATCCTGTTCTAAAAAATAGGATTGAAGAGTACATCTTGGTAACTGCCTTTGACTTCCACATATACACAGTTGAGTACATACACAAACACACTAAATTTTGGCTAAATATTTGGTGTTGCTGGGTATAGAACATCTTTAATATGTTTTAGATTTGATCACTTTTAATTTTATAATCAGTGCCAAGAACATTCATTCACATTAAATACATAGCATCAAATTATGTTAGTATGTTAAGGAACAGTTCAGAAATTGTTGAGAAAATTTTCCTAATCATACTTCAAAATTCATTTAATAATTTTTTTAAATGAACCTCAAATGGGCAACTCTAAAAGAAATATTTGAAGTCAAACTGTGTAATACAGTATTATCCAAAGATGTTATAATTTCTTATATCCTGAGAAACAGTGACATAAAGAAATTAAGTTTTATTTTTCATAATTATTATATTCTAGTAACAGTAGAAAACTTATATGTACAGTAAAAACATGGCAGGTCATAATAGTGATGAAATTGAGCCAAGGCATTTCAGCTGTCGTGTTGGAATGGTTTAACTGCATGTGCAGTGCATAGCATGTGTATTTGTGTTAAGAATGGTTTAAATGGAGTCACATGGTGGAACGTGGGTGACTATTGCCAAAGACACCTTGGATTATGATCTATTTACAAATTTAATTTTGGGTGTTTATTCAGACACCTTTGCCTGTAAGCCCATTGGGGACATTACCTGTAGTTAAAGAAACTGTACTTTATAAGATGAGGAATACTGAGTGACAGGTCTTATGGTTCATTTCATGTGTGACTGAAAATTGTGTAGCAATTCTGACTCATAAATTGAAGCAATTATAGACGGTGCCTGGTTTTATACTACAACGGTCTACCGCATGTGTCCTGTACTCTGCTAACCCGGTACTTGAGGATGACATGAGACTGGAGGGATAGCACATACGTGAGGTGAGAGAGGTTCAAAATGACCACTTTATGCATCAGAATAGAGATAGTTTATACTGTGGTCACATACCACAGAGGTGGATATTAAGACTCTTTATGGAGATTGAAAAGAAAAACACAACACTGGTAGATATAAGGTGAAAATTTGTAATTATATTAAGGATACTTGAAAGTTTATATCTTAAAAGTCTAAATTTTAGCTACTTGATTATTTTCATAAAGTTGACATAATCCTAAATACCTAATACATAATACCTAAATCACATTTGCACATTAACACACACAAAATGAACTCATATAATGAGAATTCTGAGCTCAGTCTTAGGAAGTTAGTAATTATGTATTAAAATGAGATAAGTAAAGTTTTTTCTAGGAGTTCTTTAGCATTGGAAACTACATTGATGATTGGTTTTTGTCATAAGGACAGCTGTCTAAGTTAATAGATGCTTTAAAAGTATTCAGTAAGTGTGTCCTGATAAACTTAATGATGATAGACTCTCTGCTTAAACTGAGTTCTTATTAGATTGCTTCAATAAAAGAAACAGTGTATAGTATACATACCGTACCAGTTTTGTTCCATTTAGGGCATGTGTTTGTACTTAGTATTTTAGCCAGTGTTGATCATTGAGAAATGCCCATGAATGCAGCCCAGAGGAAGCAGCAGGAAAGTGAGTAGTGTGAAGCCTGGAATGTGATGGATGAGTGGATATTGTTAGGACTGATGATATTAAGCCACAAAAGGGGACTGTCACAACTATTCTGATTACTTTTTTTAAAAGATTATTTGTTTGTTTGTTTATTTATTTATTTATTTTGAATACAGTGTTCTGCCTGCATATATGCATGCAGGTCAGAAGAGGGCACCAGATCTCATTGCAGATGATTGTGAGCCACCATGTGGTTGCTGGGAATTGAACTCAGGACCTTTGGAAGACCAACCACTGAGCCATCTCTCCAGCCCCCAGAACTATTCTGATTCTTAAAGAAAACTATTGACTGAATTTTTCTTTATATGACAGTTAGCAGAGTCCAGATCAGTAGAACAGTAATACATGGAAAATTTCCTGATCACTAATAGTTGCTGTTTTGAGTTAAAATTTCATTTTCTGAGGGCTGTAGAGAAATATCTTAATGGTTTAGAAAACTTGTTGCTGTTCAGAGGAAATGGGTTCTTTTACCAGCACCCACATGTTGGCTCACAACTGAAACACTCCATTTGCAGATGTTGTGATGCCCTCTTCTGGCCCCCACTGATACCAGGCACTCACGCTTCATGCAGTCAACACACTAAAATAGTGTCTCTTAATTTTCTCCTTCCTCCTTCCTTCCCTCTTTCCTTCCTTTCTTTTTTTTCTGGAGACATTTTCTTAAATGAGGTTTTCTTCACTTAGATTACATTTTTAAAAATTATGATTAAGAAAGCAATACCGCGAGACAGTAAGATTAATCAATATTTTAAGTCCCTCTTCAGGTCATAGGCATTATCTTAATTCTTTCCTCTTTACTACTCCATCTTATTTCTGTTGAGCCCATTCACTGAAAACACTTGTCTTTGTTAGGGTTCTTTTTACTGTGATGAGCACCCGAAGCAGCGTGGAGGGGGAAGGGCCTGTTTCAGCGTAGAGCTTCATATCACAGTCCACCCTCGCAGTCAGGGCAGGGACTCAAGCAGTAACTTGGGGATAGAACTGAGGCAGATTTCATGGAGGAAGGAAGGCTACTTAGTGACTTGCTCCTCTAACCTCCTCATCCTGCCAAAAAAAAAACACCACTCAGGGCCTTCTTCCCAGCAGTGGTACCTTCTGCAGTGCTGGGCCTTCCCATAGTGATCATTCAGTATTGTGCCCTCATATAAGAGGTCATTTATGAAGGCATTTTATCAGTTGAGTTTCCTCTTCTCAGATGACTCTAGTTTGTGTCAAGTTGACAACTAACCAGCACATTTGATCCCTTGTCATCCTGATCACAAGCACACCACTGTTCAGACAGCCATCTGCTCCCAAGATGACATCACTGTAGTATCACAAAATAAAATAGTCCAATTTTTATTATTTTGTTTTATGTGTGTGTGGTTATTTTGTCTGTATATATGTCTATACCCTGTATGCAGGCAGTTATCTCAGGACCAGAATTCCTTGGAGCTGGAGTTACAGTTTTTAGCTATCATGACCCTAAGAATCAGGCTGTATTTGGGGGGAGAGTGACCAGAGATTTTTTACTGCTTCGCTATCTTTTCAGCCCCTGCTCAACCTTTTAAAAGTCCCAGGTTTTAAAGAAATCCAAGACTTAAAAAGTTCAAAGTTTATCTAAAACTCCAGAGTGTCTCTAAAATAGTCATGGTCTCATAATTGTGTGTTCTTATGAAATAAATTAAATCTTTCTTACTCCCAGGTGGGCTAACCAGGACATAGTTACATTCAAATCTAATCAAAACCAATGCCCCCCCCCCCACCATATCTAATGTTCCTGAATTAATACCTCTTCCCCAGGCAATCTCCCAAATTTATAAAAAAGGAGCAGAGCTACATTAGCTTAACCTGACCCTTTGTTTAGGATGGTGTCAATTTGTCTGGAAAGGGTAGGTCCTTCTGTGTGGCAGGTGCAAACTGTGGCCTGAAATTCTTGCTGCCATATAATGTAGAAATATGGGCCTGTATAATATGGCCCTACAGAATGTCTGATCTGTTAAAACCTTTATTACCCGCCTTTTTTGCCATTGTCATAATTATCAATATAATCATGTATGTATTCTTTTTGCATTTCCATTATCTGTTTTTGACAAATAATGTGGAGTAGCAGCTAGGGAGGTTTTAGTGTCTTTATATCATGACACAAACCAGTTGGACTCTTGTCTAACTGTATTCTAACTACTTAAGGCTTTCACACTAAGTCAAGATTATAGAAGTTTATTGGTTAAATTTGACTGAAGAATCATGATAGTTGAAACATGTTTCAGCTATGGAAATAGAAGTCTAGATGCCCGGATTATCATCCTAGTCCCACTTTGTCACCATGGTTTTCCATAAAGTTTCTAAAGAAGTTGTATTTTTTTCTTTCCTTTTTTTTTTTCCTTGCCTTTTCTCTTTTGCCCCCACCTCTCTGCTCCTACCCTCCTTTTTTGTTGTTTTGTTTATTTGGGAAAGCATTGACCTTGAACTTCTGATGTTTGCATCTCAAATACCGCTGATGTTAGGGTTTCAGACTTGTGTCAGTGGTTAGATTTTAGTGGTGGTGCAAACCCTGCCCAGAGAATTGTGCTGCCTTCATCCTCATACTAATTTTGAAAATTTGGTGTTAACTGGCAGCTGTGGGATGCTAATTTAGATATTTTACTCCCTTTCATATCTTCATACTTGTTGCTAAAGTACCCATTTCCATTGTAAACAGTTCATAATGTTGCTGTGGCTTTTCCAAGCTAAGAAAAAAAATTGGGTAAATATGAATGAAATCTCTCTGTAAGCCTAGACTTTCAAACATAGGCTAAACTATTAATTATACTGCTTAATTATATAGTATGTATATTTTTGTATAAAGTAGATTGTAAAGTATTTGTTGTGTGCCCGATTTGTGTTTGTACTATCCTGAATAGCTCCTCGAGGCATAGGTTTTCTAAGTAGAGTGGCAGTATATCACAGTAGTAGCCAACATTTTTATTTCTGGACATCATAAAGATCTTAAATCCCAAAGACTGGTCATTTTCTCTTAATTTCTGATTGTATCATTGTACCACCAGACTGGCTAGCTTTAGAATCAATTAATTTAGTTCAGATCACATCCAGATTTCAAATTATGTAATTGAAATTGATTAGATAATTAAAACTGAAGAGACTGATTGAACTGGTATTAGTATTTTCATAAAGGTGTTCTTATTTTAAAATAATTTTATTATTTCTTTTTTGTTTTGTTTTGTATTGTTTTTGAGACAAGATCTCACTATGTAGTCCTGGCTGGATTGTAACTCACTATGTAAATTATACTGGGGAATGTTGGGATTAAAGGCATGTGCATTGTGCCCAGCAATTTAGGTAAACCTTAATTGTCATCTATTTTAATCTTAAATTTTTTTTTTCTTTTTCTTTTCTTTTCTTCTTTTTTTTTTTTTTTTTTTTTTTTTTTTTTTTTTTTTGTGGGGAAAATTCAAGACAGGATTTCTCTGTAGCTTTGGAGTCTGTCCTGGAACTAGCTCTTGTAGACTAGGCTGACCTCAGACTCAAAGATCCACCTGCCTCTGCCTCCTAAAGTGCTGGGATTAAAGGTGTGAGCCACCACCCCACCTGACAGTCTTAAATGTCTTTATAGACCAGTTATTTTATCTATATATATGTTTTGTATATATTAGCAGAAAATGTATTTTTTTATTTTTGAATTAAAGTACTGTTTATTACAGCATAGTTTTCAACCTTCCTAATGCTGTGACCCCACCCCCAACCATCAAATTATTTCCGTTGTTACTTTATAACCAATTTTGCTATTGTTTTGAATCATAATTAAATAAATCATAATGATGTGCACGGTATCTGCTAATGTGACCCTTGTGAAAAGGGCCATTTGACCTCCATAGGGTGAGAACCACTGTTTTCTGGTCTATTTTAATTCCACTTTGCTCCTACACCAGCAGTTAGTGTTTAGAACCAAGATGGATTCATGTTAGAATGAAGGGTGTTAGGAAAGAGAAAATAGGATAGAGAAGTATTATGTAGTGAATGATTGAGACTAAGTGATCATACATCTGAGAATGCCCAATAGTTTAGCTCTTTTTTCTTGTGAACTAACAGCCGGGTTATTTGGAATTTCCCATATTTTTTTAAAACAGGGTTCTCATGTATCAGCCATCTTCTGTAAGGGTGCCCAGTGTGACTTCGGTTGATCCTGCTGCTATTCCACCTTCATTAACAGACTACTCAGTACCATTCCACCATACACCAGTGTCAAGCATGTCATCAGATTTGCCAGGTATGTGGGGAACTTTTCTTTCCTTTGATTTAGTTATATTTTTTAATCTTAATCAACACAACAAATATATGTTTGTGTCTGTACACATATATACATATAAATAAATTAATTTTGAATGTAAATGCTCAAGGAAACTTCAAGACCTCATGTAGAAGTATTTCTGTCTTAGTATGTTATATTCAGTTATTATTTTAACTAATGAGAATCTATAGATTTCTGATGATAGGATATATTGGAGTAAAGTAGGAAGTTTTTGTAAAATTGTAGAAAATTTGTACCCAGGCTTTTTCTTGGAAGCTTAGGGGACAGAGTTTCCTTAAAAGGCTTTCTTCAAAACTTCTATACATTTGGGCCCATTTTTGCTTAGTGATCTTCACCTTGTTAATTTTCTCTTCTGTAAGGATGTATTTCTCTAAAGTAGGTCTTAATATTTGGAGATACTTTTATATGTATAATCATCACATGTTAGCAATTCAAATTTGCTTTAATTACCTTAGTACAAGAATTTATGCAGCCAAGACCATGATATAAAATTTAACCACAGTCTCCCAGTCTTTTTTCTTTCTTCCTCTGTGCTAAGATGCTTCTTTTAATATCTTTTGTCAGTCACGGCTGAGCAAAGTTAGAACTAGTACATCATATATTTATGACTTCTATCTATGAACAATTTTAATTTAATACACTTTGCTCCTGTTTTTTTTAAGTTGGTTTTGATCTTTGGTTTATTTTATTCTTAAATTGATAGTTTTATTCTTGTACAGTTTTTTCTCTTGAATTTAGTTTTATCTGAATAAAATTTAGTGGAAAACAGCAGATGAAAAATAATGCCAAAAATGTCTTTTAAAAACCATCAAAGGACATTGGAGATTAACATATGTTTGCTTCACTTGTAGCCTGTGATTTTTGTCCTTTTCACATTCTTTGTGAGACTATCTAAGACCAGTCAGAACATATTCATTGTGTGCAGAGACTGCTAGGACAAAGATGTGAGGGTTCATAGTCTCACAATAGAGTTCTTAATGATCAGTGTGTTGGAACCTTGGCTAAACTGACGAATGAATGTTCATTGTCTTCATATGTCTTAGAAGTATGTATTTCTAAAGGATTTGCTTGAGGCCTTTAGCTGAAAGTTAGTTTTTGATAGTGAACATTTCCATTTACTAAAACGAACCTCTATTTCGTAGAAATACCAAAAAAAGGGTATGAATCACTAGTCCCGCTAGTTTGCATATCATGGGAGTCTGAATGGTTTCTTTAAATTTGGGAGAATTAATATTCTGGTTTTGAGCGTAAGTGAATTTTTTTGTGTTGGTATGTCTTTCTAAAATGACTTTTATATTTTTTAAAAAAATTAAGCATGTGGAAATCACACTTATATTCAAGGCTGATAATTGACCAATATAAACCAATAATCTGGTTAAATACTGAAAAACATTCTTAACATTTGAAAAAGCTTAAATAGAAGAGGACCAGTTATTCTTAGGAAAAATTGTTGGTTCTTAAAAGTTGTATAGCAATTAGACATGTAAGAAGTTTAGCTTTTTACTCCTGTTTTATTGTCTATGCACTTTTTGGTAATTAGTGATCTGCTATATAATTTTTATGTAATTAGTCATAATGTACAGTTTCGCTATTGCTAAATTTAATAATTTTATAGTAAAAATTTAAGTAGCACAACAAGAATGGAGAGAAGACAGTTTTCATAGATTCTAACATTCTTTTTAAACATCATAAATCTGAATCTTCTGAATCTGCAGGAGAACAAAGAAGAAATGATATTAATAACGAAGTGCAGCTTGGAACATCTTCTGATACTGTGCAACAGTGAATACAAAATAAAACATAATTTGTATTTATGGAGTGGAAAACAGCTTGATTATTTCAAGAAAAAATATGTCTGCCTTATTATTGCTAGTGCCATATTGTCAGGTGTGAATGGTGCTCAAAAGTTGTATGATTAAATTTTAAAGTGCTAAAATCTTTTACATATTCAACCATGTAGCATTTATTCTTTGTGAAGTTTATGGATCAATTAAGGAAAAATTGTGTGTTTGTCAATGAGGGAACAAGAAATAAAAGATCAGCCCTTTTTATTAATGAATTTAAAATTTAAAAATTGCAATTTTATTAGTATTAATTAAAAGCATAATTGTATTGTTAGCATTCTTAATAGCATTTTTTTTAAAGATAACAGCATTTTCAACTAAAATGAGGACAAAAAAAGAAACTGTCAATATGTTGCTACAATTGAAACATAATAAGAAAATAGTATTCCTAACAAGGCAGTAAAATTTTACTGTTGAAACCATTTCATATGCAAAATGATGTTCTTAAATGATAAAAATGATGATAGTCTATTCTTTTATTAGTAGGGATAACTTTCAAACTACATGGGAATGTTTTCATTGAGGAATATTCACATTAAACCCTTTGTGGAGTTTGTGATTCTTGGAAGGCAATCTGAATTTTAACGAAGCTTTAGGAAAATGTTTATACATCTTATGGGCATGTGTAAGTTGTAGTCTAGTTATCTGTGGGTAAGACATTAAAACAAATACATCAAATTCATCCAAAAACTTTTAAAATAGATTTTGCATTTGCTGGGACACGCGGAACCAGTAAAAAAAAATGTCAATCCATCTGGAAAGCTGGGTTGAAATAACCAATATTGGGAACCATTGGCGCTCAGTGTACATTCTGTAATAGGAGAGCACAGAGATGGTAGTAATATTTTATCTAACTTTCATGTCCACTTAGAGTCACGAAGTGGCAACAGTTGAACATTGGGGAAAGTGAGCATTCTCAAATAATTTGTTTCGATTTGTGGTACATCTTCTGAAATGGTAGTATTTTCTTTAGCTTTTTTTTTTAGCTTGTTATTAAAATAGATTTGAGTAATCAACGTAAAAATGGAAAGTCAGACATGGTGACTTGTGCCTGTTATCCCTGCACTTAAGAAGGAGTGAGTTCATGTGTCAGCCTGTGCTACAGAATAGGACCGTTTGTGACAAGAACACTTACTGTTCCTACAGAGAACCTGACTTGATTTTATAGTACCCATATGACAGCTCACCAGCACCTTTAACTGCAGCCCTAGAGTATCTAGTGCTCCCTCTTCTGAACACTGTGGGTTCTTGCACACACATTCACTCACGGACAAACTCAATAAATAGATTTTAAAATGTCTTGAAAAAGTAGGAGCTATTTTAACATTGAACAAATTATTATGCCACTTGGAGCAACAATGAATAAAAACAACAATGACTAAAAATCAACCCGGTTTAATAAATGATATTCCATGACTTGGTCATATAAAACTTTCAGAAGGCATAAAAAAGTTAGACATTTTTGAATTGCTATTTAAAAGCAGAGAGGTTTATTAAATAATTTAAAGTGTTCTCATTTAAATATATCACCTTCTGGTTATCATTTTAATGGGTAAATTATTTCAATAGTGAATTGTGGCTTGCTTAGTTCATCAGTTTAAAGTTCTATATTATGTAGCTAATTAACAGATTATACTAATAAGTTTAAAATGTGCTTTAGAAATTGTTTCAGTAATTCCTCCCCAATGGCTGGGGTTACTGCTTGTATCATAAGTGTTTAAAATACACTCATTTGTAAATAAGGAAATAATGACACTTTAAATATTTTTAGTTAAAATTGTTTATAGTTTTTATTAAATGTGTCCATTATCTTTCTTACTAATCTCTATTTTCATAGTGATATAGTATTATATTAGAATTTCACTCCATGTGGTTGGTATAGTAAATGCCAGCATATAAATATTTATGGAATTGAATAGACATTGGCCTATTTTGTTTGTTTGTTTGTTGTCCTTTTTGAAACAGGATCTCACTGTATAGCCCTGGCTGGCCTGGAACTCTTAGAGACCTGCCTGTCTTTGCCTCCAAATTGCTGGGCAGCCTTGCCCTAACTTAATGGCCTCTGTCCAGGATGTGCTTTTTAAAATGTTTTAAAATAACAATAACTTAGAAGCATTTGATCACACAGGGAAGTCTTCAGAGTTTACTTTGAAGATTATTGGTAAACTTTTCAGACAATGTTTTTCCTATAGCTTACTGTTACTTGAGTATTTATTTAAGGAACTTCTTTTTCACATTTCTATTTCCAGAATGCAGTTGTAGAGTTCCTTCCAGTTCCTTGGTTTAGAAATTGCATTGGCTGAGTGCGAATGTAATGGGTGTTAACTGGTTTAGTAGTGAGTAGCAGTTCCCAAGTGCTTGCTTTGTGCAGAGCATTATACTCTGTAGAATTCTTGATGTGGGATCTGTTAAAGAACTGGTATTCGCACTTAACGTGTATTTCTGAAAAATAAATGTGAAGTATCATAAGAACCTAAGTATGTTGTTTTTTTAATGGTCCAAAGATAATTACCATGTTTTTCTTTTTTATTGCTTCTTGCTATATTAAGTTACAAAAGGAAAAGATTTTGGTCAACTAGCCCAACTCTGGAAATTTTTGGACTGTTGCTTTTGAGTTGTCAGAAGGCAGTTTTTCCAGTTGTTTGGTTAGAGCATATATTCACCTTTCATTTTAGATGCATTAGATATCACCAATTATGATTATAGAACTTCAATGTTGCTGAGAGGTGAGCATTTGCCACAGATGTTCCCTGGCTTATAAATGCAGAATGATCTTGGGAAATAATTCTTGTCTCCACAATATGAGACAACTATTAACAAAGCATTTTTGTTCTAGGTTTGGATTTTCTTTCCCTTATTCCAGTTGACCCACAGGTATGTATCCTGAATTTAAGCAACTAATTTGTCTTTGGTTGTTGATTATGTCGTACTAACTGAAAATGACCAGTTGCATAAAATCAGGACAGTTGATTCTCATGTGGACAGAAAGGAAGTACCATAGAAAACTTGTACGATTTTATTCGAAGGAATAAAGTTACTGGTTTTCAATTTATTTTTTATTGTTCTTATTACTTAACTTTCTATTTTTATTTATCATAAACAGTTGATCTTTCTTACAAGGGCTTGAGTGATTAGAATGAGGGACAGCACTACTAAATGCATAGAAGTTAAGGCTTTACACATTAAAAGATTTATATAAAACAGTCAACTAAAGTTCATCAGATCTGGATCACTGACTGAGACTGGATCATTGTTTGAAAGACAGAGCCAGACTATGAAAAGGCTTCAATTGAAAGTTGCTGTGTTTCCAATCAAAGGAAAGAGATCCCAGGAGTATCCCAGAATTCCAGTCACTGCATGGTGAGCATGGATTCTGCTGACAGTCATTAACAGCAGAGACAAAGCACAGAAAGTGAAAGGGGCGAGGTGGAACAGCCAAAGAAAGCACTTGAGTGGTACCTAGGGAGGGGTGGAAGAATTGTCCCTGTCTCAGCAATTTCAGAATTGACTAACTGCAGGTCCAGTATGAGCCTCCTATCTCCTCAATATCTGCATTTGATTGCACAAACAACACAGGAAATTTGAGCCCAAGATATAAATGGACTGAGGATTTTCTTCTCATCCTGACTTTATTTATGAGTAAGACCTTACAGGGGAAGTTACATAGTTTTCTAGGACGTAAGTTCTTCAAGCTTAAGAGAGTTATATACTTTTATGTGAACAGTGGTTTAAAAGAAAAATAATCTTGGAACCCATGGTTTTTATTTCATAGTTTTATTTATATGCTTAGTGGGAAACTGATTTATTTGGTAACTTGGTAGGAGGGTGAGAGTGACTTCACTTCTATTGACTATAGAATCCATAGGTTTCCTCTTACATCTCCATGTTGTTCCATAATTCCTGTTATCCTTTTGCAGGTATATACTTAAGGGATCTAGAGTAAAAGTTGCAATGGCTACAACCCAAGTCTTAATTATTCAAGGCACAGAGTCCATTGGCAACAGGATGGCACCTTTTAGCATTTTTTACAGCGTAGTGCTATGATATAGGAAAAAACAAGCTTGAATGGTAGCAGATTTTAATGGAATCATCTAGGCTTTTTTAAAATATTTTTCTTCAGTTTCAATATAACTAACTTGATTTTAGAGAATTTTTAATACTTGACAATTTCACTTTCAGAGCTTCTTATGAATGTCTGTCAAATTTTTCATGGGTGGCATTAATTTTATAGACAAGCCAGGAATTATCCATCTGAAAAACCAGTAACTTTCTTTGTCAAAAGGCAGTTTCAGTCGGGCATAGTGGATCACCTGTTTAATCCATCACTTGAGGGGCAGAGGCAGGCAGATCTCTGAGGTCCAAGGACAGCCTGGTTCATGTAGTGCTTATGTTGTGCTTTCCAGAAAAGCCGGAGATATATAGTGAGACCCTGTCTTGGAAAAAAAATCAAAAAAACAATCAATAATGAATGAATGAATAAATAAATGGATAGGCAGCCTCAATTTTACTTGTTCTCTCAGCTGTTTTCTTTTTCCTCTTTTAATGCGCCTTGAAAACCATGTAATCTGAACAGTTTAGTTTTGAATTGCTGTCCATAACTCATTGTCTCTAGAAGTCTAAATGATATAGAGGATACATAACGTTAGGTATCCTTGTTGGTTTTTTCCTGTAGTCTAACTGAAGACAAACTTAATAGCATTAGACATTATCTGTACCAAAGTCAGTGCAGTTGTGCCTCATGTAAAACATGGTATTGTGAAATATAAAATTCCAGTTAGCTCTTATTTTAATTCCTTATAATTTTAGATTACTGTGCTCAGGTTTTGTATTTTATGTGAATCGGCTATCCAGATGGAAGGGTACTTGAAATAAGAATATTTGGAGAAGGATCTTAAGAAGCGTTATAAGGAATATTAAATTTGTGGTTATGATATTATTCTCTCAACATCCTGTGATAATTAGCTACCATATAGCCTCAAATTCAGAATGAATGTTGACATGCTAATTATACAGGTATTGCTGTCTTTGTTTAAAGCGGACTCCAATGCCATCATTCAGCTTGTTGCTCTTAATATAACTCTTAAAGGGTCTGTTTGATTCTAAATTTTGAAAAATCAATGAACTTTGTTTCAATTATTACATTGTTTTTGAGGTCAGTTTTAGTCATAATTTGGGGGTGTCAGTATTTAACATGAAATGATTTCAGTCATTGTTGACATTGCGTTTTCCCTGTGTATATGGCCAACAAACAAGTTCCACACATTCAAGACAATTAAAAATGTGTGGCATTCATGAATATAAAATAGCTAAGCCCCTACCACCTTTTATTTAAATACAAAATTTGTTATTTTTAAATCCCCTGAGGATTTAACTTTGTACCTGTCATTTGTAAGTATTTTAACAATTTCTAGTCTGTTTATTTAAACCAATGTAGCCTCTTCCTCATCAGCATCATTGTTTGTTTCAAGCAGTACTGTCCTCCTATGTTTTTGGATAGTCTCACCTCACCCTTAACAACAAGCAGTACGTCCGTCACTACCACCAGCCCCCATGAAAGCAGTACTCATGTTAGTTCATCCAGCAGCAGGAGTGACACAGGGGTCATAACCAGCAGTGGAAGTAACATTCCTGACATCATCTCACTGGACTAAAGGCGGCCATACTTGATTCTGGGAATCATTCATCAGAACTACTCTTGGATATCTAGTCCATGGAAGCTATTTTTTTTGCAATTTAATATTTATTGAAATGTCAGATGGATTCTTTGCTTTCTGAGAAATGAACACAGATGACTCCTGCAAGAACCAGATGGCAAGCAAGGACTTTTCTTATGCCGTACACTGAACATCAGATATATTTCATCTATGACGGTGTCTTCTTGAGCAGTGGATTTCAGTTCCTACATTACTGGATGGATTCTACAAACAATTTTTTTGTTACAATAAACAGCAATAAAGTTATGTAAATACTTAAACTTTTCTAATTAAAAGAAAATGTAATCACTGATCTATAATAACAGCCACTTCTGTTTAATCCAGAATGAAGGGAAGAAATCATGTTTGCTGAATGAATACTTTCTATAGAGTTGTGTTCTATTTTGTTGAAGTAATGAAGCTTCAGTAACTAGCCAGAACTTGGTTCCACTTTTATTCTTTCAGTTCACCACTCTTCATGATAGCATCAGAGAAAATGCTATTTGTGTTCTGTGTTTTTCTCTTGTCACTCATACTTTGACATTATATGCTGGTGTATGCAGAGTTAAGTGTTGAGGTTTGGTTGCTCTTTTTAGTTACTATGTTTAAGAACACTAGGCAGATTTTATCCTATGATATAATGTGTTATTTTTGGTTACCATACATTCTTATTCTAGAATTTTTACAATCTTGAGCCTTTTTTTTTTTTTTTAGAAAGAAAAAGTATACAGTGTTTGGATGGAATGTGCTCAAGTTAAGACTGGAATAGCTGGTAGAATTTTCTTTGCAATGTTCGGAAATATTTAATACTTGGGAGGAACCAGAACATATTTAGAAGTGGAAATAACTAAGTTCTTCCTATGAATTTAATTTGTTTCATATATTTTATATACTAATACAGAATACTTTGTTGGTTGAAACTTTTCACATTTTAATGTCACAGATATAGAAATTATATTTAAAGTCTTTGATCATAATTCCTCAAATGTAATTTCAGTTTCAGCAGTGATTTTTTTTTTTCCAGTTTAAAGAAAAGTCAATGGAGGGTCATACCAGATCTCATTTTCCTGTTTTTTTTTTTTTAATGAAGTCTTTTTGTGAAGACACGGACACAGAAATTAGGGATGTTTGAGTTGAAGTGAGGGAAAGGGGCCCAAAATTCCACTTAATGCTGCCTTTAAAACACACCTCTCATGTGACTGTTCTGGGTGAGCTTTGGAAAGCGCTGTGTCTCCAGTGTGTTTGAATCACCGTAGAAGCTTTCAGCTTTCCTGGTTTCCACTCGCGTCATTTGGGTTTCTTAATTTTCAGTTCTCAAAGATGTAGTACTTTCTCTACCTATGCTATGTCCTAACGCATAGGTTTTTTTAGTGGCTACTCTTAATTTCTCAAATAAGTTTCTGCATAAGGACTCTCTGCTTCTACTCATGACAGGGACTTATTGCTTTAGAATTGGTACAGTTCTAAAGAGCTGGCTTGTCCCTGTTTGGTGTTTTATCTTTCAAGTTTTCATGGCCTTTGTGTACTTTTTGTACAAAATGCTTGTGTAGTTCTCCATATTGCTTCTTACTTGCCTCCAGCACCCTATGTTCTTTCCTTTTGATAGGACTTTTGTATCATCAAAGATAAGGAAAGCTCAAACAGCCCCTGTGATCACAGTAGGCAATGGTACTTTGACCCTATGGCCCCTGGCTTTTACTTTCTTAGCCAGTCCAGATAGAGAATTTCTTCTTGTAGGACTTTATGTTGCTACTGTAAGTGCAGATGCAGTTTCTGTTACCTCTGTAATCAGAAATAGTAGCCTAGCCTGGCTTCTGTAGTATAATTTGTTAATAAATGATGCAGAGTTGTTATCATTTTGTTTACCCATTAGAGTATCAAAGACTCCCTTACAATGAATCAATGAAGTCTTATTAGTAACGAAGATGGTAATAGAAATTATTTACCTAGTTCTTATTATGAATACCTCTGTACATTTGTCGTTTTCACAGGAACAGTAGTAGTGTTCATTTTCAGGGGTTTAATGAAATTACAAAAAGTTTTACTTTTTCTCAGGTGACTAGCACCTTTAAAATAGACTTAAAAGTTTTTCATATTGATATTGGGACTTACTTTGCAGGTATCTTTAAAGGTATGTACTTTTCTTTCCGCTCCTGGCTCTGTGGTTGTAAAGCCAGTCTCTCCTTAATGTCACATTCTTAGGAAGATCTGGCTGCTTAGCAGTGTCTTGTTAATGCAAATTTCTGTTTAACCAGATAGAATGAAGAGGTCATCCTGGTGTTTGTAAGGTGTTAGCGATGTGGCCATTATCTTCAGATATCTCCACCTAGGGAATTGTGCTTAATGCTTATAGTCACTTGGCCAATCTCTATTTTCATCTTTATCTTTTTTACCCCACTTAGAAATATTGAAGGGCTTTGGTAACTTGAGACAATGTAGCTGCTACACAGAGCTCTCTCTCTATTCATGAGGACTGCTTTCATTAGCTAGCCTTCTGACCCCCAGAAGAATCAATTTTAGATTTTATTTCCGTTTTGGCCCCCAAATTAAAAATATTTGGTATATGTCCTAGGATAATTCTAAAAATCAGATGAAATAGGTCAGGTGAATTTAAATGTATGGCCTTGTATTTCATTCGTTCTATAATACTATAATAAAACCATGGTAGTGATATCAGAGATAGTGAATGTGATTCAGTTGGTCATAACTTTTCATGTTAAACAAGTTTCCATTAGAGTAGTCTTAATGAATTTGAAGGGAAGATGCAGAATTTTAAGCAAAGTCGTGCTGAATGGGGTTGAAAGAGCCTGTTTTGACTTTAATATGCCTTGAGTCAGTCTTGAACACTCACCTTTGTCTGCTGCCAATAAAGACACTCATTTAGTTGCATTTGTATTTTTAAGTAAAGTCGATTTTCATAAACTATTTTTATTATTATCAGGTATGTTTTTTCAGTTCTTTTGCTTGGTTATTTAAAAGAAAAAAAGTACTATTTTAGTAAACATTGTTTTCCTGCAAGTTTATCTCTACTTCTACGAAAAGTCATAACTTATTTCCCAACTTTTTTCACCTTTAAAAATAAAAATTAGTTCTCATTTAACTTGAGTCTGACATTGATTTTTAGTAGCCCTGGGTCCAGGTAGTGTGGCAGTTTGAAGTTGCCGTTTGGCAGGCGATGAATCATTGAGCCTGACTCAGCATCTTTCCTGTATTTCATGTATTGCGGTGCAACATATTAGAAAGGTTTGAAGGAGCTCTCTGCTGTTCTTAGAGATTGGTGCTCTTGGTAAATGTCTTGTGTCTTCCTTCTGTTAGGAGCTACATCATAATTTACAAAAGCAGCAAATAGAGCTAGGTCAGCATGTTGGCCCTTTGTTCTTCATTGCCTGTCTTGTAGTCATTCTTTGTTTTCTTGTTTGCCAGTAGTATTGCTCTTTGCAGAGAATTGAGACAAAGGAGAGAACCAAAGTTACAGGCAACTATTATATTTTGTACATAACACACATCAGCAGATAGTATAAGAGAGCAGATAGCCTCTCTTCCCATAGAACACATTTGTCTTTGCAGGTATCAGCATTAATTTCTCCTGACCCCAGTGAAGTGGACCATGAGGCAATGATTGGCATTTCTCAAGCTTCCTGAAATTGAAAAAAAAATACTTTGAACTATATTTATGTGTCTGTGTGTATATTTGTGTGAAGGCCAGAAAAGTCCTTAGATCTTCTGGAACTGGTGGCTACAAAGCACTTGTGAGCCACCTGATACAGATGCTAGAACTGAACTCAGGTCCTCTTGTAAAGCAGTATTGCTCTTAATCTCTGAGCCATCTTTTCAGCTCCAATCTCTCAATTTTAAATATGGAGAGTTGTTTTGTGTGTAGGAGATTTGTTTCAGAATCCTCCTCCAATACAAAAATTCACAATGCCAGAGTTTCATAAAATGGCATAGTATTTGCATAAAACTGACATAGTATTCATATATGTTAAATCAGATTGAATATAATGCCTAAAATAAAGGCTATGTAGGGAATACAAGGAGTCTGTTCTCAAAGTGCTGTTTCAGCTCTTCCTCTGGCAGTAGAACTCTGCAGTTGATTGGATCCTTGGATACAGGATGGATGGATATGGAGAGCTGACTATACTTGTCTGGCATGTTCCTGAAGATACTGTATGTGGATACTCAACTGACTTTTCACGTGACTTTACTTAGCACTGTGAAGATAATCTGAATGTCAGACTAAGTTTTGATTTTTATTTTGTGCCTAAGGACAGCCCTTAAATGGTGTGCACCTCTTGTAAGGTCCATTCCCCTTTCAGATCTCCTAATGCCAGTAGGATTTCCTGAGATAAATGCAGTCCAACATAAACTGTGAAGGAGGTAAAGCTAAGACAACCACTGCTTTTCACTTTGCCTTCTTTTCTGATGTATTCTTTCAGTGTGTGTATGTGTGTGCACAGGTGCCACAACAGGCGTGTCGAGGTTAGAGGACAGCCTACACAGCAGTCAGTTTTGTCACCGTGTGAGTACTTTTATTTTGGTCACCATAAAGTGTACTTGCCATAAAGTACTGAGACTAGTTCCAGGTTTGGAAGATTTATAATCCAGTTCTGAAAGGTCAAGGATTCTTAGTAATTGTGCTACGAACTTAAACTAGTATCCCATTCATTAACAAATGAAGCAGATTTCAGTATGTTTCCTGATAGGGTAAGTGCTAACTCTGACTTAGAAAGCTAGAGTCTGACCTAAACCAACTGAAAGATAAAATATCTTTGGTCTCAATTAAGCTGACACTAATTTAAAGACTGGTTTCAGATGAAGACCACTGAAATTGAAGGAGTATATGCAAGTTTCTGCCCTACTCTCAACTCTGGGAGAGTCATGCTGCTGTTGACAGGCACAATTGCATGTCATTTAGGGGAGACAGTTTAGGCGTGAGATACTTAGGAAGAACTGTCAGGCCCTTCCGTTTTTCTGCTGTTAAATTCAGTTTGCTTTGTCACTCATTTTTGTCTTTTCCAGATAGTGTGTATATACTACTCACAGTTGCCCATTCCCTCCTTAACGAGCCATCTGTTTTGGGAATCATGTAGTAATAGGAGTGGTGGGGCTGCATCCCCAGCACCCCGGCCGCCTGGCTAGCTTATGCCCCGAAATAACAACACACAAAGTGTATTCATTCAAATACTGCTTGGCCCATTAGCTCTAGCCCTTACTGGCTAATTCTGATATCCCGATCAACCCATCTCCAATAAACTGTGTAGCACCGGTCTTACCGGGAAAGATTCAGCATGTCTGACCTGGCAGCTTGCTTCATCAC